GTGAGAAACTTCCTTGTCATAATTTGGAGGACCAACCTCCTCTGCTCGACCATATGCCATTTGCCAGCCCAACATGCGCTCTGCAATCTTCTGTTTGTGGTTCTGATTTTCTGAATTGTAAGTGAAGTCACTTGCACCATCATCAGCACCCCCATCCTCTTCCCGGTCTCCAAGAATAGCAGGACTACCTAGAATCATTAAGGCAAGCACAGTAATTACTAATTAGTTTAGAAAGGTAGAGGTCCTGCATATAGGGACTGGGGATAGCAGATTAAAACAGACAACTTCATATCATGAAATATACATTGTGTGGAAGTTTAATTTTATCTTGGAGGTAAACAATCCAATAGGTGGAAACAAAACGAAGTTGTGTTACGGGGCACTGTACGGAAAGCAACTCGTGAGTACAAATCTGAATATTTTATGATTCTGTATCGCAGTTAGCATTATGGATATCAGCAAACCTTGACTAAGTAAATCAATAAGAATCTGGGTTCCTTGATTAAGGAATTACACTCACAAAGATAATCAAGCAAATAACTTAAGTGGCTGATGTCTTCTCCTAATTCTAGATAAAGTAGTTGGAATGGGTCATCAAGTATAGCTGAATTCTACTATCAACTATTTATATAGCAAGCAAATTTGGGATGAAAAAGGTAAGGGTCAGACTATGAATTGTAGGGGCACAACACTGTTGTCTGCAACTACCTACACTGTCCTTCGTATACTCCAAGAGTAACGGATTTGCTTGGGTTTACAGGCCTTGTTTAGTAACTTTGGTAGTCTAAAACTTGTCATGGTTATAGAAGTTTGAGTAATATAGTTCATTAAGAAAATTCTGTTCAAACAAAGGCTATATTTTCTCTAAAATAAAAAGCTAGTCCTAGCATCTTATAAACTGCCTCAAGCCTATAAGATCTTCCCCTGCTTTTTTATTACAAATCTTGCACAATATGCAAAAAGAATATTTACAAACAACGATTTTATCCTCACTTACCTTTGTGCCTCTTGTAGCGGGTCTTGCACTGAGGGCAAGACTGATTTCCATCCTTCCTTTCATATTCATAGCAAGGCCTGCAGACGGGAAAAGCACAAACATCGCAAGCAATGAACGGATTGCCATCCACATTGTTCCCAATATTATCACCACAGATCTGGCAGACTTGGCCTCCCAATGCATTCATTGGCTTTGCCTGCTTAATGGAAATGGTACCAATGCATCATTAACCATCAGTTAATAATAATGGCACCCCAAACAACAACTTCTCATACCAATTTAAGGAAAAATCAAACAGAAAATTCATATAACATCATAACTCACCCCAGCTTCTCCTTCTGACTCCATCCGAGATTCGTACTAAGCTCTATCCAGATGCCAGTAATAACGGATCAAAAGACAGTTCAAGCTCAACAATATACACACATTACTCAAAAGCCTTGTGCACTTTCTAATTGCTCACAAGATCAGTTGGAAGATTCCTCTCTTGTATTCCACTCCCAGTCCCACGTCAGAAGCAGCTCCCTTCACTTGGTATAGAAATTGAAGCTCGGATCTGTGTAAGACCTGTGGAAAATACAATGAATCAGATCACTACGTTCCAACAAGCATTATCAACAGTTCGCAACATGGAAAAGAAAAGTTTAGATCTCTAAGACACCAGTAATTTGCCGGGGCAACAATGCACTTCAACTCACCAAAGGCAACAAAATAAATATTCTTTCCCTATGAGGTCAAATTTACTTCAAAATACAAAAGACACAACGAAACACAAACCAACATTTCGAAAATTGCACCAAAGAATCACCTCTCTTTGCCTCCAAAATAGATGAATCACTCAGATAGTGACAAACCCAGATGAAGTTCCTGAGCAATGAAGCCAGAAACTGGATCACAACCCCCCCACTTGAAAGCTCACAAAGTGAGAGAGGAAGAGACAGAATCAGAAGCACCCCAATTCAGCAATTCCCATGAAGGAATGAGACAACACTCCACGAGATTCAGAACTGAATAAAAGAGACCCGGATCGAAAATTGACCGACAGAGAGAGAGAGAGAGAGAGAGAGAGAGAGAGAGAGTATAAGGATAGATAAATGCTTCTCTCTCTGTCTCAGTCTATTCTCAAAGTTTAACCTTTTTTTTTTTTTTTTTCTATTTGCATTGCATGTGCATAGCTGTAAATATATATAAAAATGTTCAAATGGCTTAGGCATGACGAAAGGGACAATGTAACTAAGAACTTGACTATTATGCCGACACCGACAGCTTCATACACCCAAGAGCTTGTTTGTGTTTGTGTAAGAGAGAGAGAGAGAGTTGAAGCTTCAAACCTAACGGATCTGCATCATACCCTCAATCATTTATTCTTCTTCACCAACCCAATATTTCTTCTCTACATTAATCAATAATATGATACAATATAAGACGACAAAAATCAATATACAATGTTCCAAATAAATAACAATTATTGTATATATTATATACAGAAATGTTAATGTTAATATTAATAATAATATATTGTAATAATTTTTTTTATAAATATTTCTAATTATCAATCGTAATTCATCACTAAATTTTATAATGATTTAATTTTTTTAATAAACTTGAACTAGAAAATATTAATACACACAATTTAACATATTCTATTAATTAATACATTTGTAATCGTTAATTGAAAGAAAACTCAATAAATAAAAATATAATTCATAAATTCATGTTTTTATTTTTAGTTCTTCTATTTGTTTTGTCCATAATTATTGAATTTTTTCTTTTCTCTAGAGTAAAAATATATTTTTACTTATTAGTTTAAAATAAATAATAAAATTTATGTATTAAAAGTACTAATATGACATTGGTGTTTCTTATTAACATTGTTTTTGAAGAGAGTAAATATGGGAGGAGTGCCAAGTAGGCAACAACTGGAGATTGAAACATGAAACACGGCAACACAATAACTGAGTTTTTTTTGGGAATCTACTGTTGCTTGCTGTGAATGGTTTTGACTTAACACCGTTTAGGAATAGTCAACTCAAATAAGTATTAGTAACAACAAAACTATTATCTTCTTAAGGTTATGCTAAAATTTTCTCAAATCACTGTCATTTTTAAGTTTTTAACAAAATAATATCACATTTTTTTAAGATATTATGTATAAATACTTTTTTGTCTCTATATTTTTGTCTTTCAAATTTTTCTTTGGCTCTTGTATATTCAAAGTGATGAATTTAATCATCTCACTTTTAAAAATATGTGATTTAACTAATTTTTATATATAATATTAAGTGATGATTTTTTTATTATCTCAAAGTTGATAAAATGATTAAGTTAATTTAATATGTAATTTTGGTCATTCCTATGTTTGACATATAGTAATAACCTTTTACCATGACAAACTCAATAGAATAATTAAATTAATTTAATATGTGATATAAGACATTCTTTAAACCTAAATTAAAAATTTACTAATGATTTCTTACTACACAAAGTTGATAAAATAATTATTCATATATAATTTTTTTAAAATTTAAAGACTAATTAATAAAATTCTAAAATATAGAAATTAAAATCAAGGTTGATGAAATGATAGAAACTAGAAACATATTTATTATTTAACCCTTATTAAAAATAAAAGGGAGACAAATGTTTATTTTAAAATTTGAGAGCATTTGAGCGTCGTTTAACATTACTTCGTGTAATTTCTCCTATATTTTTAAACATTTATTATTATTATTATTATTATTATTATTAGTTTAAAATTATTAAAAATCTAGTATTTTTCTAAAATAAGCCGAAAATCCCAAGAGCCTTGATTCTATAAAGAAATAAATAAAAATGGAAATAAAAATAAAGTAAAAAAAATGTGGAAACTAAATTATGAAAGAAAAAAAGAAAAATGGCATTGCAAAATTTTATTAATGTATTTAATTACGTATAATCCTACTTAAGTTAGTAGGTTCACTACGAATAATTTTATTTTTCTCACAATATATGCTGGAATTACTTATCTAAAATTAAAACATGCCAACACTCATTAAAATGAAACAACTACGTGTTACTTGATGCACGCGTTTAGTTGTAAATGATATTGCTAAACTAAGTGCTTTATTAGATAGTGATTAAAAAATAGTACATAATTTTTACTAAAAATGAGGAGTTTACTACGCATTCCCATTTTTGTTAAACACCATCTACATTTTCATGCCAAATATGATTCTTCTAAAGTAAACAACTCTAAATGTTAATAAAAATTAACTATACATAATATTAATTATGTTTTCATCAACAATTGAAAATTGAAAGTAAATTGTAGTGTCATTGGAAGTTAGATTCCAATATTCAAAGTACAATGTGCTTTAAAAAGATAAAGTGGACTAATGTTTGTTGGTTAAAAAACCGAACATAGTTTGTTAAAAACAATTGAGACACAAACCACCACCAATATTCTCTAACAATTGGAAAGTACTTTAAAAACCATGCAATATATCGTCGGAGGTTAGAAAAGACACACTAAGAACAACTAATGCAATAATTAACCTAATAATTTTTAGAAAAGTTTAAATAAAACAAGTATTGCATGTTATTTAAAAACTAACAAGTTTTGAATGGTTAAAAACCCTATGAGCTGCAAATAATCACGAGGCGTTGATTAGTTCACTTTTAATAGTTTATTGCTACTGTTCTTGATTTTTAGTCCATTAATCTTCATACATAGTTATAAAAACATTTTTATTTTTATTTCTATTTCATAAATATTATGGAACATATCGAAAACAATAAAAATATCCTCATTTTTTTAAGAATCCTAACAAAATTAAGACATATACAATAATTGATAAAATCATTGGAAAAAACATACAAACTATATACCCTTTTTCTTTTCCGTGTCGATATGTGTTTTTAATAATACACCTATGCATCCTAGTAACATAACAACGGCATGAAACACAAGAAAAAAGGTTGCAATGACCAAAAAGATGCAAAATGACATTTTTGAATGAACATGTTACTGCTGAACTTGACCCTCACTGCATTGCCTCTTGAAGTTCAAGGCCTCATCTCCCAGAAACTCACTACATAATCGATTCGTATTAGCTAAAAAATGTGGGGACAGGGAAAGAAGTGTAGAGCTTAATGAAAAAAAGTCAAGAAAATAATACAAAAGCACTCACCAAATACGCTCAGCCATCAGTAATGGTTCCCATCTCGGACTCCATGGATAATCAGATATGAGCCGTGATTTCATAGGTGCCATTTGCGAATTAAAATGCTGGAATAAAGCAAATACGGAAATGACTTGTATTGTACATCATGATTACGTCAGAAACATACATTTTTCTCCTATCATGATTTGAAGATCATCCTAAAAAAATAATCTGGAAGGAGATGAATACAGTACAATTAAAGGAAAGTTTCCATGTTAACCATTTACAGTAGAAAATAATACAATTAAATTAAAGAACGTTTTCTTCCAATAAAATGAACACGTTAGTTTCCAGATCTACATATTCTCCATACTTTCGAAATAGATTATAGACCAACAAAACGTTTTCTTTTCCTCACTGTATCTCCCAACAAAAAATATATGGCTATATAACGTAACTCAGAATTCAGTGTTATTTGACATTTTACAAAACCACTAGGATTGGTCTTCTGGTGGAGGGTTTGGGTAGGATGTATGAAGACTTAGGTTTGATACTCATTGTACACCAAAACAAAATTTGACATTTTGCAGAAACACGAGTTTATGGTACTAAAAGTATAAGAAGATTATTTATCTGTCACATTCATTTCTACACGTAAATAATGCTCAATCTTAAGTTCTCACGCAAAAACATGTGGGAAAGTGGAAACAAACATAACCTGTGAACTTTGAAGCATAATAGACGGCTGTTGCTTTGGAAATTGAGTTGGAATCAGGAAATGTACCTAAGTAAACAAAAGCATCAGAATTTTGGTCAAGTGCAATATCGAATACCAAATGAAAAAAAAAAAAGATTCATACAACACATCAGCTATAGAACATAAAACTACTGAAGACTTCAAGTGTTCAACTTTATAACTACATAGCAGTACCATTTGTATTAATGACCAGTCCAGAAACACTGATTACAGTTATATAACGCACAATTTAGCACGTATAATACCCCATGAGGTTAAGATTACATTTGATATCTCTCTTGTTTTTAGATAGTAATACCCTTCCTAATATATTAGTACAACAAATACCCTCCGTCATGGTCAAGTTTGTTCTGTATGCCCCTAATTGTCCTTTAAAATTGACTTTTGTCTAACAACTCACCCAATCCTATGACTTTGTCATTTAGTTAACTGAAGATCTTGTTACCTTTGTAGGGATGGACTTCGGGGCAAATGATTGGTGTTAGATGTGTGTTTTAACGGTCTTTATTATCTCTCCACGCCACCATATGTTAAAGTAGTCTATGATAAGGGAATTATTCACTAAACCTCTTGTGCTCACAACCCTGAACATAATGGGGTGTGGCTAAATGCAAGAACAAGCATCTTGTACTCTTCTCTTCCACAACAATGTTCTATCGTACTTCTGGGTGATATCCTTGTGACATTTTATCTTGAGCTCCACATGCTTTGTTCAAAATTTGTCTACATTTAAAAAAAAAAAAACTCATCACAACCATCAAAATTCATCTTAGTGTCTCACCATAGCACAACTCATCATTGTTTTCTCCTACCCTTCAACAGTATTTAGTTTTAGTTGATGTCCCATTCTGAATTTGACACTTATTTTGAGTCTACTTATCCTTCTTCCAACATGTGGTTTTTTATCCCCCCTCCCCCTGGCTCTCCTACACTTGCCCCCATTCCATTTGTTCCTAAGGACGACTCTATGGTGCACTAGAATGTTATGTTATCCTAACATAGACCTTGGTCGTGCATCCTCTTCAAACATATCAACCATGTCAATGGCCTGCCAACATTCTTGTGTCAACCTTTAATATTTCCAAACTTGCCCACTGATTGGCTGTTCGCTTTGAGGAAAGATACTGATTCCACTCCTAACCCCTCTCTTTAGTGTTTTACCCTTAGTTATCATCATCTTCTCCTTTGCATGATACTTGCCTCTCTCTTTTGTCTTTTATGTCTATCTGTAACTCTTGAAGTGAAGCATTATCCCACCCAGACTGGCAGTGTGATTGACAAGAAGTGTGACTCTAATGCAATGGTACCTGAAAATTGGTTGTGCTTGTGCACACCGTTGGAAAATTTGCTGTAGGGTTTTGTTCACTGTAAATGCTTAAAGTTTGTTTGCCCAAAATATAACAGACAGTTTGTATGATCAAGATAAACTGACAGATTTTCTCCTGTGGAAAGGCTTCGGTCAAACTCCTTTTCACCATGACCACATTTCACCATTGGCCCCTCTTTTAGCTTGATATCAAAAGCATGAAGGCCTTCAACAAGTTTATATGGAGCTACCATTTGGTTTTGTTGCTTTGCAGGTATATGGCATATGTCAGCTTTACGGGTCCCCTTATGAATTTGAACAGACAGCACAAACCTAGTTCTGTCCTTTTCACACTGTTGTGTTGTGAAGCAATTTGGGATGGTTCGCAATAAAGGCAACCACTCTGCCTTGTATTACAATTCACTTCAGGGATGCATTTATCTCAGTGTATCTGGACAAATTTGTCATTACAGTATGCACTGATGTTTCCAAGGTATTGAAGTTCCTCAACCCAAGGATGGGTATGTGATCTCTCCATAAGGAATATGCTAAATCAGTAGACAATCTTATGAATCCTAATGTTAAACTACTACACAATCAAGGGAAGTCATTATGTAGGAAAATACTTTCTTCGTAGTTAGTGTAATGAGCATTTCTTGAACTGTCCACAACTGGCTGGATTTTTCCAGTTTCCTGGCTAACAGATGGTACCAAGATGGTCACATCACATCAGTGCAAAAAACTAGGGCAAATGGGTAATTCTAAAAAACAGGGGCATCAAGTACACTTTAAACCTCAAGGAATGTGAACACATTTTAATCAACTTGCTCTTTTGGTCAGCCGTGAGGCATCCATCAAATAAGGGGAAAAAAGATACTGACAATAGATTTCTGCCCTAGTTACCGATGACTTTAACTGACAGAATTATCACATTCAGTTATGCAATAAACTTCATGTGAAAAACATTTTAATTTTTCAAAGGCAAGCTTCTGTCAAATAAATACATAGATGTAATGAGTGTCATTTATTACCAGGAATGTGAAAACACCAGATGCAGCGAGAAAAGTTGCCTTCCTGCAAAAGACCTAGAAACCGAGAAATCAGGAGTTAGCAATTTATATATATAAAAAAAATAGACCCTAGCAATTTGAGAAAGGTGTCCAGGGTAGATACAGGATCAGCTTCAACTGGCCTTCCAAACGGACTGGCTAAGGCTTCAATGAAGTGTCTTCTAACTTCAATTAGAGAAACAGCCTCTAAGACCTAAGTTCAAAGCATATTTAATTATTTATATTAGTTTTAACATAAATGAGGATGTTAATTAAGCACAAGAAAGCACATATTAAACTAATTATAAAAAACACAGGCACAGTAAAGATAATGTCAGCTAACCTGTTTACCAAGATATTCTTCCAGATTTGGAAGATATTCTGCCAAACACCTTTACAAAATAGAACAATTAAAAGCAAAAATATTATAAAAACCTATCTCAACCTTGTACAGGCATCAGTGAGACAAATACAATAGTAAAAAATTGAAAAACTTACATGCCATCCAACCAAGGAGGTAGCTTGACATCATCAATGGAAAAAGCAGCTTTCAGCTCAGGAGAAGATACTAACTTCAGACGAGGAGCTGAAGGTGCTGATGTATATTTTCTTCCAACAGGATATACAACCTAGGTTTAGTATATCATAAGTTGTTTGTTTGAAAGCAGTGAAAAATTCAAAACGAATATTTCAAGAGAGAAACAAAATCAACCTGTAAGTATATCTTCTGGGAATATCTCCAGGGACAGCAAGACACCATCTTGTTTATGTTCATGTCCAGTAGGGGCACAGCAAATTTAACCTCCTCTAACTATACTAAAATGTAAAGTCACAAATGTAAACAATATTGGCCAAAGGCTACATTAATTTGGTCACCCATCCATGAGTAGATGATAGAAATATTAATTTTTTCTAAAGAAATACCTTCTCACCACCAGAGCTCATATGCATTTCTATTCCCTGCAGCAGAAGAATTGCATCAATTAAAACTTTGCCCATAAACAAAAGTATAATCCCTTATTCTACCATAGATATTCGAAAAGATATAATAAAGTTATTGGCAGATATCATTAGATGCTTCCTTCCACATTAATAGCTGACGTTGTTTACCACAATCTCTTGTATTAATACAAGACCCAGGGTCCCTGTTTCTTCTGTGATTTTTACTTCATCACTGTCAAGTATGCTACCATCTAACCTCCAGTGCCACCACTACATGATCAATATCAACTCAACCATACGCAGAACAAATATAAATGAAAAATAAAAAACCACTACCACATCTATTGACATGACATATGGAGCAATATAGAATATACAAAATCTCCTGATGCAACCCACTTTCCATGCAAACTGTACTTAGCCAACATCATTCCCAACACATGCCTCTTTCCGAGATTCAATTAACCATGATAAAGTACGAGAAATTTAATGACATTGAAACAAGACAGTCTGAGAAGTAGAAATGAACTCAAAATTGATTAACATGTGTTGGATAAAACACTTATTTACGCAGTGGTATCCTAACAGAATCAGTTAAGAGTTCTCTGAATCTATTAAGTTCACCAACCTTCTAACACTTAACTAAATAACTGCAACTGATTTAGCAATCTGATACAAGTTCAAGTCCTTTGACACACGTGCAACATACAATCTACAGAGATCACATGATCAACATGCCACAACATACTATAACACTGGGAAATGGATTCTTTCCCATGACATTATCACTGAACAAGATCCTAACCCTTCAATAAATGTTTTTAATATGACAAGTTTCTATTATAAAGTAAAAGCTTAAGAGTATACAGCGAGATCATCACACTTGACTATCTCAAGTCTTTTTTGCACAGAAGAGGATCCTTTCCCCTGACCCCATGTAAGGCGTAAGGACTTACCTGGATACAAGCTAGAAGTTCTTTTTAGAGCTTCTCTAGTGGAAATATAAAACTTTTTTCAGTATAGAAACTCACAAAAGCACGCTGAGCTCTGTATCAAAACAGGCTCTAAACGTGAAATGAAATTTCACCAATGAAACTCCTATTTCTGAACATTGGCAAGTGAAGAAATTAAATTAAATTAAATTAAATTAAATTACCTCCCTGGACAAGATAGTGCTGATTTCGAATTTCAAGCGGTCATCATCGACCTCTCCAACGCGCTTCCTCTGGTACAGCACATACTGATCCCTGATAACACAATAAATTGCCTTGTCAAAACAAAAACAAAACCAAAATTACCAGTATCAAAAGCACAGTAAAAAGACAATAAAAAAATACCTCAGGAATTGAATGAGGGTTAAGAGACGCGAGGGGTCTTTGTAGTTCCAATCTGACAAAGAGTTGTTATTTGATTCGGGGGAAGGTTGCATGTGAAAGGGGTGAAAATCTTCGTCCTCGGGGCCGAAGATAACATCAGGAGCAGCACTGGGAGACTCCGCGTCGAATATAACATCCCCTGAAAGAAAAAAAGAAAAGAAACCCTAGTCAAGGTTTGGTTCCATTCCCAATTGAAAGAAAACTGAAAAAGATTGATAAACAGATAAAGAGAATGAATAAATACACTTGATGAAGTCTAAGCAGTAGGGGATGAGGAGAGAGAAACGATCGAAGGGGCCAGAGTTGTATTTGTCACCGGACCACATTTGTTCAACCTGAGAAAGCAAAGAAAATAAAATGTTGAGTGTTAAAATGGAGAGAGAGAAAGAGAGAAAGTGAGAGATGCATTGCCTTGAGGGTGAGGCGGAAGTGGGAGAGGAGATGACTGAGCTGAGCGGCGATGAACGGAGGGACGTTTTCCGGACCTGCAGCCATGGTTGTGATCGGCAATTCTGTAACTGAGCAGCTGCTTCTCTTCTGCTCTGTGTGCAACGTTACTAGTCAAAATAGAATTTATGAAGCACAAACCTTACACAATCAGGATATTAAAAAAAAAAATCTGAAAATGAGTAAGTATGGAAAAATTATAACCACCTATTCAATCGATAATTGGATTAAAAACTTTTGGTTAAATAATTAAATTTAAATTATAGAATTAAAAAAATAGGATGATTTTTGGATTAAAGAAAATTAAAATGATTTTTTATAAAAAAATATATTAATCAGAACACTTTAAATAATAATTATTTTATTATATTTTTATTATATTTTTTAATTATTCATCTTATATTTTTTAAATATATTTTTTATTTATAATTTTTATTTATAATTTTTATTATAACATGATATTAATTATTATTATTATTATTATTATTTTACAAATATTAGTATTAATAAATTTATTATATATTTATTATATTATTTTATTAAATCTAATTACATCTAAATCCGAATTCATATCTTAATAAGTTGGATTTTAAAAACATTTATAGACTTGTTTTCCAAATTAAAGACCAGATTTCAATTTCTTTTAAATTTTAAAAGTAATTATTTTATGAAATAATTTTTTAAAATTTAATTTACAGTCCTTTTGTCTAAAATAGTTTCTCAAAAAAATCAATTATTTTATTTACTATAACTATTTTTAAAAAATAAAAAATAAATTACATGGCTTGATCATAATTTCATTTTTACATTTTATAAATTCTGAAATTTTTGTTTCAGAATATTTCTTTACTTAATTTTATTTTTATCCTTTACAAAATTTGTAATCCTTTAGTTTAATTTTTTTTTTACTTAATTTTAAATAAATAAAATTAATGTGGTGACCCTAAATATTTTACAGTAATTGAGTTTGATTTTTATTAAATAATCAACTCTAATAAAACATCAAAATCATTCGGGCTCATTTGAATATAAAATCCAAATAAAATAAAACTCATGTTTTGCGACATATTTTAAATCAAATTTTCTATTTTTTATTATCATAAAATTGTAAAATATTTACTATAAAAAATTGTAAAACATTTTATAATAAAAAAATGTTAATTATTTTTTATACAATTGTTCTTATATTTTATATAATTATTATGAATAATTATTGACTATTTATAATTTTTATTAATTTGTATTAGGTTTTATTATTATTCTTATTATTTGTATTAATATTTTTTATTATTTAAATACTTATAATTTTTTTATTACATTTTCATATCTATTGTGTGTGTATTGTTCTTATATTTATAAATTTAATTTTTCTTATATTTTATATAATTATTATGAATAATTATTAATTTGTATTAATATTTTTTATTATTTAAATATTTATAATTTTTTTTATTACATTTTCATATCTATTGTGTGTGTATGTGTGTGTTCTTATTATTTGTATTAATATTTTTTATTATTTAAATATTTATAATTTTTTTTATTACATTTTCATATCTGTGTGTGTGTGTGAATATTTTTTTAATTACATTTTCGTGTGTGTGTGTGTGTGACACAACATGTCTTAACCAATACACTTAGAGCACTTTCCTCCCTAATTGCTATATCTCTATTACATTCTGTCATTGTTATTAGTTGTGCTTTATGACGGGAGTGTAATCTTTATCTGTATGCACTGTGAAGAATAAGTTGTTGCTTCAGATCTGAAGCACACTCTTATGAATAACTCTTGATGATAAAGTTTGAGAATTTATTGAATATACACTCTTATGAATAACTCTTGATGATAAAGTTTGAGAATTTATTGAATATATTTATCCCCTAAAGTTAACACCTTTGTTTTAAATACTTGGTTTCATGACTTCAAAGGCTAGAAATTCTTCAGCAATTGAAGCTATAAATTCTTCAGCAGTAACTAAGCTGTTACCTGTGGAGGCTGATAGTCACTCAATCATCATCTCATGCATCTCATAAGTTCATTAGTTAACAGATAACAGGGTCACCAATTTTACATTCCAACAACAATTAATGCAGCAGAAGAATGTCACAATTAATGAAGATATCAAAGCATTTCTACAGTGTATGGACACAGACACAATACAAGTTTCCGACTCTTAAATACGCTGGTATTCACAAAATCATTCTTTTTATTAGATATATGGACCAAGGGGTGTCTTTGGGCTGTTATGAGAGGGATAAACGTAGGGAAGTTATGAGAGGCATAAACTTATCCATGATATGCTCTACTCTACTAAGCTTTAGACTCAAGAAAGCCTATAATCAAGGGAGAAAAGTTAATACCACTCAAATACACGAAAAGCCAAAAGCTGACTGATTATGCAGTATATAACATGTCTGACCAGTTGAAACCTAAAAGGAACTTGTAAATTCCATGACAACACAGCTGAGCAGAACATAAATAAAAGTGCAACTGTACCAGCAAGGTGAGAAACTCTTTAGTTCCACAAACAGTTTTAGAATGGTGAAATTCACAAACCAATCAAATCCCTTCTGATGATCAATAATAGAATCAAAAGAAAAACAGATTCTTTTAAAGCCATAGGAACAGGAAGATGTGAGTGTTTGGGGAAAAAAAATATCACACTTGTGCTACACAGTCATCAAACAAGAAATGGGCTTCATGATTTATGGTAGGTAATAACAAATCCTAAGCAGTAAAATGAAAGATGAAGAATATCATTTGTAATTAGTATTGCAAGCATGAAATGGGCAAATATGAAAGTGGAAATAAATTTGGTTGAATTTGCTGAAGCAGTAAAAGATATTGAAATTAACCAAAGAAAGAAAGGGCACTTTATAAGTATCAATAGAAAAATCATATGCAATAGTTCAAAAGAAACCAGAATGGAAGATCTTATTTAATGTCTAATTCTAACAAGGCTAACAGTAATACTCAATGAAACTAGTTTTTTCACTCTGTAATACTTTGTTTTTCCTTCTTTTTCTCTAACTACTCTTTTCCCCTTCAATTCTCTTTTCTTTATTTTTGGATGTTGCCTGTGAATACAGGAAAGTCCCAAGAATTGCAATGGCAGATCCAAGAGCATTAAGAGGTCGAACCGGATTCCTGAACACCAAAACCGTGGATACAATCACGACCACTCTTTTCATTGTGTTTCCCACAGAGAAAGTCAACGGGCTAATTTCATCCAGTGCTTGGTATGACGATTGGTTATAAAGATGGTAGAACACCCCAGACAGTAACACCCAGATATAAAATGTGGATGTTTTGCCTATAGCTTCAATAGCCTTGTAATACCCTGGGACCCACTGAGACCCTTCTACAAAAATAGCCACTGGAAACAGGTAGAGAAATGAAACAATAGTAATCCAGCCATACAAGTTCAAGCCATCAACTTCCTTGAAATTCTGCAAACTTTTTTTAGAGTAGATGTTCCTCAACACAAAACCAACATTGCTAATAAGGGCACCCCACAATCCTTGTACATTGAAAGACACCTCAGTAACAGCAGCTAAAGAACAACCAAGCACAATGGGTAGAATGGAGAGCCAAACCTGGATGGGGTACTTATCACCAAGAACAGAAGAAAACACGACAGAGAAAACCGGTTCTGCAGATTTGATGACATGGGTGAAGGAAACAGCAACCTTGGAGAATGAAACACAAGCTGAAATGTGGCCTATTGTGTGGAACAAAGCAGGTCCAAGGAGAGCAACGATGAAGGGTTTTGAGATTTTTGGACAAGGCTGAAGCTTTGAGGACCAAAGCACCAGCATCCAAATGGACCCAACCAAGAGCTGGAAAGAGGCAAGAAGCCATGGGAAAGGGAATATGTTTAACACTTTCTTGTTGTAAATGTTGAACACAATGTTTTGGAAGTACCATAGCCCAAACACCAGACCAAGTTTGAGATTTTTGGATTTGGGTTCACCGGGGGCAACATTTTCTCCTTCAGGATTGGCTTCAGATGCAGCCTTAACGAATTGGTGTCTGGGTTTTGACGAGGGCTCAAAAGGGTGCGGGAGGAGTCCGTTCAAAGACCTTAAATGTTGGATCTGATTTGGCGTGAAAGAAAGTTTGGAACTTTGCAGAGGAGTGGCTCTGTGTTGGGTCCGGAACCTGGTGAGAAGATTTGGTTTGAGATGGGGAGATGCATTGATGAAGAAATGGGGATTGGGTTTGGTGAAAGTGAGAGGGGATGATGATGGAACAACATTTGAAGATAGCATTTTTATCTGTGGTTGGTCTTGCTCTCAGACACAAACAGCCGAGACAATGGAAAACTGATTCTGAAAAGAGAACAAAAAGACTGGTTTGGGGTTTTAAAGGCTTCCAAATCAAAGGGATTGGAGTCCTTCAGCGAGCACGAGAGAGGAAGAGCGAGGTGTAAACAAACAACCCCTTCCACAAAACCTAGTACAGACGAATGTTTTTGACCGTTAGATTTTTGCATTTTCAAAAATCAACGGCTATTTTATTTTATTTTTCTCTCACATTTCACAATCACTCTTATTTACATATATTTTTAATATCTTTATTTTTAGCCTTGTTTTTTCTTATCTCTTTCAAAATACACGAATAAATCATAATTAATTTATCATTAATTATTGAAGGACTTAATTGTTATTAGAGTTTAAGTTTGTTTATATAGTATTTAAAAAGATCAATTAAAAATATGAAAAATCATAATATTAATCATAAAAAATATACAAAACATGACTATGCTAAAATTATTATCTGTAATAAATAATGTTCAAAATTAATTTAATAAATAAGTATTAATTAATGTACTAAAATAATGATTTAAAATTTAATATTGTATTATTATATAAATAATAAATAATATAAAAGAGTACAATGTACCATTTTTGATTTCCCTTTCTTCTTCAGAATTCAAGAATCGATCATCAATGGCAGATTGGTCAGAACTTCCGAAGGACCTTCTCTACGTAATCTCCCAACGCCTCCAAAGCCCTCTCTACCTTCTCCATTTCCGATCCGTGTGTTCCTCATGGCGCTCTTCTGGTTCATTTTCTTCCCCTTTTCTCTTCTCTCACTCTATCACTCTCACTCCCACCTTTTCCCTCTCCCACCGCTCCCTCCTCCTCCTCAAGCCACCCTCCGCTGAACCCCATCACCGCCCCTGGCTCGTCAAAATCTCCCACGACCCACGCGCCCGCACCGCGCGTCTCTTCCACGCGCTCTCCCGCTCCAAGCCTAAACCCCCCCGTTTCGCGCTCGACCTCCGTCGCTTCCCCGCTCTCGACCTCGGCCACGAGTTCCGCCTTTCCAACGCCTGCTCCTCCGTGGACTCCCTCTATGACGAAAAGCTTGTCCTCCTTCCCGCCGACAGAGACCGTTTTGCCCTCCTCACCATCCACGTCTCCGGCAAGCTCGCGCTCTTCTTCCGCGGGGACTCCGCCTGGACCATAATCCCCGAAATGCCGACCCCCTATGACGACGTCTGCGCCTTCCGCGACACCTTCTACGCCGTCGACGGCAACGGCCGCACCGTTACGGTGGGGTTTGACGGCGCACTGCGCGTTGTCGCGGAATGCGTCTTCGGCGGGGACAAGAAGTTTCTGGTGGAGTGCGACGGCGCGCTGATGATGGTGGACCTACACTTGTCCACGGACTATGAGTATTTGGAAGAGGAGGATATTGGATACATGGGGTGGGAGAGGACGGTGAAGTTTGATGTGTTTAGGCTTGAAGAGGAGGTGGGGAGGTGGGTGGAGGTGGCGAATTTGGGGGAGTGGGTTTTGTTCTTGGGGGATGATTGTGCGTTTTCGGCTTCTGCCAAGGATTTGGGTGTTGAGAGAGGGAACTGTGTGGTGTTTAGAGATGATAGGTTGGGTGGTGTTAGGGTTGCTAATGGAGTGGGGGTTTATGATTTGGGTGATGGAAGGATTTCGCCCTTGTGGGAGTGTCCCAGCTTTTCTGAGCTGTTTTGGCCACCTCCGGTTTGGGTCAGGTCGCGTTGATGCTTTGCGAATGGTATGTGTATGTGTGTATGCTAAGAATTTCAAGTGTTTCATGGTAAATTGTGCTATTAATGTATACTTCTATTGGTATGTGTTTATGAATGTATGTATGTATGTATATGTATATGCTGATTTGATAGAAGGCTTTCCAGTGTTTTCATGGTGAACTGTGCTATGAATATTTATTTCCTATGGTGTGTGTGTATAATGTATGTATGTGTGTAAGTGTATGCTGATTTGGCAGAAGCTTTTCAATTGTTTTCATGGTGAATTGTGCTATGAATATATATTACCCTTGGTTAGTTCATGTTTTATTTTCTGTTGGGAAGATGATTCTTGGACAACCTTGAGATAGATGGGAAGAGAAAAGATATAAAGAATTGATATGTTAGAAGATGTGATGTTAGAAGAAGTGAGTATAGAGAGAAATGAGAGGTATTGATGGGGTTTTTTGTAGTTTGTTAGTGTTGAGAGGTCCCAATATATGTTCTAAAAGTAAAACTGTAAAAACCTCTTTCTTTGGTTTTCACTTGGGTCTGATTATAAGCTAAGTTTGGCTTTGAAACTTTGTTTGAAAGATAGAAGTAAAGAGAGAGTTGCATTACAAATTCAGTTTGCTAAATGAAGTTCATTCAACTTAAGTTTTCGAAATTTAGTGTGTTAATTTTTATTATAGGGCACCATATTTTGCTTGTTCTGTTGTGGTTCTACAGAGCCGTATGCTGTCCTGTGTTTTTGATACTTGCAAATGAGCTAAGACTTCATTGTTAAGTGTATCTGCTTCAGTTTGGTGTATATTTATATAGAGGAAGGGGTTGGCAAGTGCATTAGTGTTAGATTAGGACTATAAATTTGTGATGTTCAGTGAGGGAAGTATAGGTCTTTTGACATGATTTTTAATTGGAAGAGTTTCGCTGGGTAATATTGCATGTCTGAGAAGTGGAATAGCATTCACGAACACTGTGCAATTAGCTTCATGTTGCTTTTTTTATTAATGAGATACTGCTTGTTAATCTTGAACGAGAATTGACCAGCCATTGTGTGTCCATACTTTGATGGCATTTCCCTTGTTGGCATTGCTGTTTCTAAAGGATCTTGGCGAATGTAGATCATAAAGGATTTGCATAGATTACTACTACCATAGAATGGAAGCAATTATTCTTCATACTGTGCATCTTCTTTTCTTTTCCCCTGTTTTATTCTCATTTTATATGGCAATTCTTTATTCTATTGGCGATTCTGGAAATATTGTGCATTTTCTCTAATTTTGAAAGGATAACTTCTATATAACATGGTGCATAACTAATATATGTTGCTGGTAATTTTAAATAGAATGTTATACTCATAGAATAATGCGTTTTTTTGCTGCTGGTATATTAAACCCTCGAAGTGGAAATTACTGTTTAGTTATAGTGGGTGTTAATAGAGCCACTAATGGAATGGGGACTTTTCTGTTTGGATAAGGTTGCAATTTGCCCTTGTTGGAGTGTCCCAGGTGAGTTTACCGAGTTGTTCTGCCCACTGTCAGCTTGAGTCAGGTTTATGGAGCTTACTGCATGTTTGGTTTTCAGTTGGAGACCCCAATCTGCATTCAAAAAGTAAATCTCTTTTTTGGTTTACTGTTTGATTTGACTGTAAATTGGGTTGTCTCAATTTTGCCTTGAAACTCAGTTTGAAGCAGAAGTAAAGGGAGAGTTACTTTTACAAAATCAGTTTGCAAAATGAAGTTCATTCAAACTTAAGTTTAGAAACTTTAATCCAAACATAGTTTTAGCATGTGTTTTGATTTATTACAGGAAACCTACCATATATTGTTAGTTCTGTTGTATATCTACAAAGCCACTCGTTGTCCTGGTCTTTTTAATTTAGTAAATGGGGTATTACTTTGTTGTTAATTGACACATGTGCTAAGGTTTGGTGTATATAAAAAAGGTTGATAAATGCAGTGTTAGGTTAGGACTATGGGTGTGTGATGTGTAATGATGAAGTATAGGTATTTTTGACTTGTCTCTTTTTTATTCTAAGAGTTTCACTAGGTAATATTGCATATCTGTAAACTGGAGTAACATATGGTTGCATTCATTCCAGACGAGATACTGTTGGTTAATCTTGAATGAGAATAGGCTAACAGCTTTAAAGTGGTTTTTGGTGTAAACCTTATCAGTAGTACATCTGGTCACTGGGGCTATCGAGTATATGACTGTCCATAGTTGAATGGTATGTTCTTTGTTGACTAAGACGCCTCCAGAAGACCTGTAGAAAAGAAGATGATAAGGGATTTGCATATATTATTACTGCTAACAATGGAAGTAGACACTATTCCTTTGTGGATCTCACTATGACAAATCTTTATTCTATTTAATTATTTTAGTGATGCTGGAAATATAGTGCTTTCTTTAAGTTTGTAAGTGAACTTCAATAAGACATGGTGTGTAATTTATGCATTTTGTTGGTAACTTAAAAGTTGAAATGGATGTCACACTTGTAAAGTCATAAATAATTCATTACTGTTTAGATATATTGGCACAAGTACAGATACAGTTTTATTTTTATTTTTTTAATCTTTTCTCAAAGTAAAGATTAAAGGTTACTGTTTTGGTACACATTGAGGAAATGGTTTTAGAATGTACTGACTTTTCACCTACACTTCTGTAAATGGTTGAGAATAATCAAGATTTGAATAGGATGCTTTTGGTTAAATGGCTTATATGATCAATGCAGGACCGGTTAAAAACCTACATTTACGAAGATTATGTCCCCAGTAACCTAAACTCGGTGAAGCAACATTCATTAGTACTCCAGTGTAAATTGAATAAAAACTCAGATGCTTGGAAGTGGTTGATCAATTTGCGTACTTGAAACCATTTGTTTTTTGTTGCGGTTGATCAGGCTTCTGTAGTTCTGTTGCATACTCTGAATAATTGATTGCAAAGGTCACAAATTCATTATCTCTGTGCATACAAGGTTCAACAGCCTAAACTTTTGTCGTCGCACTCGTGGAGACAAGGCATCTCAGTCCAAACTGCCCTCCATCTTTGCAAATAACTTTCTGTAGATGTTGAGACTTGTCTTTTTCATGCTAGTGGACATTTGCTGTATTGTTCATTTTTTTCATATGTAAATAGTGTATTTTAAGATTAAAAATTTCCAAAGGAGTGGTTGGGAAGAGGACAGAATACAATCGAACATTGATTGTTTATGTGATCCAAAAACTTCATTACATTTTAGCATTTGAGTGTTTTGGACTTCATACATTTTAACAACACAATTCATATGCTTTCAAATTGCTGCTGAACCATTTTCGGCTTCTCTCCAGGGTAAAACCAATTTCTTCATCACCCTTGCATTCATTAGTCTCGAATAGACGTTTACTCCCAAAGTATGAAATTTGTTTAAACCATATTTTGATTTCATGTCACTGTATGTGTATATCGTCTGGCTAAAGCATAAACAACTCAAACACCTCATAATGATACTGCCAGGTTTGCTATAATAGTTAGTCATCTGTGATCTTAAACTATTAAAAGGAAATGATATATTCAGTATTTTACTTTCAATTAAGACAGGGAAAAAGTAAAAGAAATATTGCAATCAACCAATAAAAGACAAACTAATCTACATAAACTAACTTAAAGTACATTTGCATAGTAGTAATGGGTTAGAAGAGAAATAAAAAGGCTTCCCTGTACACCCAGATTACAAGAACAAAACGACTAATTTTTCATGTATCCTATAAAAGTCTTTTCACATTTTTTTTATTTTTTTTTAAATGATCCTCGTGTGTTCTCCTATTTTGGAATGTATTTTGAAATGTGATGGAAGGGCACAATAAAAATAGTTGATAAAAAAGACAATCCCTGACTTTTCTTGATTCAGATAAAATCTGGAGAAGGAAAGACCCTATCCACACACACACACACATATATATATATATATATATATATAATTTGAGAGACGAAAAATAAGGGGGTGAAAAATGAAAGAAAGAGAAAGTAAACGAAAAATGAGATTCTGTAGTTGGTGAAAAAAGAGTGAGAAGGAGGATAAAATCTAGGAGTATATATAATTGATTTGATTGAAGTCATGAGGATTGGTAAATATTTTTTTTGTTAAAGTCCAAAATGTAAAACTATTAAATGATTTTAACTATTTAATTTCTTTATTAGTTTTTATATTGAATGCATAAAATAGAGAAAACTAAAATATAACATAATATAATTAAAAAGATAATAATCAAGATTAAAATATTTTTTAAAATAAATAAATAAAATTACACAATCATGTTATTCACGTTTTAATTTTTATCAATTTTAATTAAATATCTATATAACATGATAATAATTTAAGAAAAATTGAATTTAATTCGTGAGTAATTTGAATATTGTAAATAAAAAATTGATTCGGAATACATTTTTTGTGAATCATAAAACGAGTGGCCTAATTTCCAGTGTTCTTACAAGGGAAAATTCACGTTCATTAGTGGCTAGAAACCCAATAATTAGGCACATTGGAGGTCTCAAATACGAGGCTTAATTAATCAATGCCCCTAACTTGTGAATTGATGAAACCTAAAAAATTGGGGAAGATTAACCACAAATAAATCAATGCATTTTGTTCCTACATTACGTGGTGAGAGATGAATAAGCACGTTAAGGCCCATTCCCTTACACCATTAGTTTGGAATTTGAAAAGCACGTCACGGCAAGTTTTGTAGGTGATGCATTTTTGAACCCCATTCTCTTCTATCCAAAACACAACCAAGTAAAACACAAGCAAGTCAAACTCAACCAAATTTACTCCCATCAAATTTTGAGGTTCAAATGACAATAGAATTGAGAAATCTATGAGCCAGATGATTCAGTTCTACATCTATTTCGGGCAATACACATTTTAGGTTTTTCCTATCTATAAACATCAAATTTTGAAAATTTATAACTATTTTTTTTTAAATAATCTTTAAACATAATAAAAAGGGTAATGAAAACGTGGTAACAAAAAAAAATCAAATTTAAAATTTATCTTAAAATTCTGTGGGTGGGATAGCTACCACCAATTCTTCGTTTGTCAAATGCCAAAGAAATGAGTATTACGTTGTTGCCTAACGCACCATAATTAGAAAATTATTGGAATCACTTGTCACAACTTTTTCTTGGAAACTTTACCCTAATAAAATTAACAAATATATCTTGTGGTCAATACGTTTTGTACCTCTTCTTTCACGTACTTTCACTTTATAATAACCTAGTAACACCATAAACAAACAGTCATGCTTCGTCAAACATATTTTAAAACAAAAACTATACAAGAAAAAAAATGTGAATTTGTATGGATATTGTTCCGTTTATAAATAAGAATATTTCAATCTCATGTTTCGTCTATAAAACTATACAAAAATATGTTAATACTGTATATAAATTATTCTCTATTATAATTTTTAAGTAACGTGAAATTCATATGCATATACGGAATAAATATAATTAATTTTTTTATTTTTAAATTTTAGTAACTATTAAATATAAAATTAATAATTGAGATTAGTGCTAAAGAAACATAATTGAGAAAAAAAAAATCCAAACCCAACGGAACTGACAGTGACCAGATTGGGAATTATGGGAAGTAGCTTGTTTTTATTCTCCTAAAAATTGTCTCCAAACTTTTCATATCTCAATTGGATCAATACTTACATTTTCAAAACCTTGCGTTTTGTTGTTTAATACTTACATTATGCTCCAATTTTGATCAATTTTCGATAGGAACAAATGAATGACTGAATTGGAAATTACCCAATTTGATTATTTGACCCATCTAAGAAAGTATTCAATTTCAGATTTTTTACCATCATTTTAGGTGTTGAAGTTGTTTAATATTGTATATGATACTGCACTTTGAATTTGAAATTAATGATTAAATTGAAAGTGTTGATACTATCAATTAATTTATATACCTTATGGTGAGATGTATATTTAATCTTGCATGTTAAATTGGTCTTAGCAGTCAATGGAAACATACTTTAGCAGTAGAGCATTGTGCAGCACAAAATGTTTGATTGTTGGTAAACAAGCACAAAAGCACCTGAAAATAACCAAGTCAAATTTGATTTTTCTTCAACAACAATGCATTGATTTCAAATTCTGGTAACACCCCATTATTTGTTTTGTCTCAGTCTCTAGCATTTTGCTTATTTCTTACAATCAATTCCATTATCTCTCCATTCAATGCTCATTTTTTTTCTCTCTCTGCAAAACCAGCTCTAACTCCTCTATAAATATATAGTTCTTCCTTTGTCATTTATCGCAACACAAATCTCTCTATTATCCTCAACTTTTTCTCCCCTTGTTGTTTTGCCATAAGAAAGTGTAAACATATGAGAATGTCTGCACAAAGTGTAGTGATTCTTTCACATTTCATCACCATGTTTGTCACATTTGGGGTGTGTTTTGGCTCTTTCCTAGAGGACACATATCATCTAACTAATTATCAACGTAACTCCATCAAACCAAATGATGAACATTTTGGTATCATCATGGAAAGGGCTTATGGATCTGCCCCATCTACAAGGTCTCAAATAAGGATCAATGTTGATGACTATGGAGCCAAAGCTAATGATGGAAGACACGACACTGAGGTAATTAATGTTACAGTTTAACATGAGAATTAAACCATGTTTAATTCTATTCAGTTATCGATCTTTGACTCTTCTTTTTCCTTAGGCATTTGAGAAGGCATGGAATGAGGCATGTTCTACAGGGGGTGTTCTTGTAGTCCCAGAAGAAAAAACCTATCATTTGAAGCCAATAACTTTCTCAGGACCATGCCAACCCAATACTGTCTTCAGGGTGAGATTAACATTTCCAATGAATGATTAGTTAGAAAGTAGGTGACTTTACTTTGCCCACAATTTGCTTCGTCATGTTGATTAGGTCTATGGAACGATCAAAGCATGGCCTAAAATGTCAGCATATGGAAAAGAAAGACTACTCTGGATTATGTTTCAAAATGTCACCAATCTTAGAGTTGATGGTGGTGGCACTATCAATGGCAATGGGAGAAAATGGTGGGAAAACTCTTGCAAAACCAATGAAATCCTTGTAAGTTATTCAAACTCTTCAATCATTCACATTGTTCTTTACGTTACTATCTAAAACTACAATGATATGTATTCTGCAAAACTGATATATTTTACAAGAATCAAACTCAGATTGTTTCTACAAATCCATATAATAAATCAATGAATAATACATATTTGCGTAACCATTGATTATTATTATTATTATTATTATTATTATAATTAATACTGTTAAAGAATACTGAACATGAGATTTTCTCTCTCCTTGTGTTTCGCAGCCATGCAAACATGCACCTACTGTAAGTTAATGTTCTTCTTCGAAACATGATGTTTCATTTTACGTACATCAATTTCACACGTTGATGTTACATTGCTCTGTTTCTGCACTCTTTTATTCCTTAAAATTTTCTGGAACATTGGTTCCACAGGCCGTGACATTCTATCAATGCAACAACTTGAGGGTGACAAACCTGAGGTTCAAAAATGCACAACAAATGCATATAAGGTTTCAAAAATGCAACAACGTGACGGCTTCGAATTTGATCGTGAGAGCACCAGGGAACAGCCCAAACACTGATGGAATTCACGTCACAGAGACAAAAAATATTATCATAAGCAATAGTATCATTGGCACAGGTGAAAACCAAAATCAACACAAAATTCGCAAAAAATTCACTTGAATTTTAAAATTTCTAATTTGTTGTTCTCACTGTTTCATTGAAGGTGATGATTGTATTTCAATAGTGAGTGGGTCCCAGAATGTTCGAGCCATCGATGTCACGTGTGGACCAGGGCATGGAATCAGGTTTGTAATTATACCAGAAACATGTTAAATCGAAATATGATGGTCAATCTTAGTATAAAAATGAAACATTCTCAATTTTACGTTGTTTGGTTAGAAAAGTTGATGTTGTATTATGTTGCAGCATTGGAAGCTTAGGGGCTGGTAACTCAGAAGCTCAAGTGTCCAATGTGTTAGTGAACAGAGCCACCTTAACAGGAACCACTAATGGAGTTAGAATAAAGACTTGGCAGGTATACAAGTTTTTGACTTTGCTTCAAAAAAGAGTAACCGAACATACCCAGTTAAACTAATTTTGATTTTTTACAAAGTTCAAAGAAGGGCTTGAAGAAAAAATGGTAAATCTTGACGACAATTGAGAACACACATAGCCAAATTTTAGGCACAATAAGACTATTAGATTAGGAAGTTGACCAATTGTAATTGGATTGGTTCATGGGGCAATAGTGCACCCAAGGTCAAATTCCCACTTTGTTTTAGCTTACTTTTGAGCTACCATGTTTTTTCTTAAGTTTCTTTTTTGGTAGGTTTTCACTTCCTAAGTTCTAACTGACCCAAAGTTGACCTGAAAATTTTCAACTAACTAGGTTTTGCAGGTTTAGACAGTCCACCAATTCCTAACCCTCTCCACACAAGTCAATATATATTTTATTTTTTCAAAAACTGTGTAGTTCAACTTTCTTGTATCCTTCCTCTTAACTAATTTGAACCAACAATTTTTTTTTTCATTTGTGCTTTTCGGAATGACATGGCAGTTACTGTTTTAAGTTAAGTTCTTCATGCTTAATAATGGCAGCAAAAAATATTATGCTTAAAAGTATTTAATATGATCTATGTTTCTAATATTTTGTAAAACTTCTCTCTTTGTTGTCTAAGGTCAATTTGCATTAGATAACACAACAACAAAAAGAAAATTGAGATTCTTCATGATACACAACATAAATTAGCCACAATGAAAAAGGTTTTTCTTAAGATCATATCTGACATAATTTTTCATCACAACACAGGGAGGTTCTGGGTATGCAAAAAACATAAAATTTCAGAATATAACAATGAGAAACGTGACAAATCCCATAATTATAGATCAAAACTACTGTGACCAGGACAAGCCATGCAAGGAGAAGGTGAGTTCTGAAGCTCTCAATCTACAAAGAGAGAAACTGTTTGTATTAACATCGAATAAAATTTCACAATCACAACCATTTTGGTCAAATTTCAGGCCTCAGCAGTGCAATTGAGGAACATTGTGTACCAAAACATCAGAGGAACAAGTGCTTCAGAAGTGGCAATCAAATTTGAGTGCAGCAAAACTTTTCCATGCAAAGGAATATACCTGCAAGATGTGATCTTAACACCACAGGGTCATGGTGACACTAAAACCATTGCTACATGTGAAAATGTGAGATATGTTAACAGGGGAAAGTTTCTTCCCCCATGCTCTTCTTGAGGAAATTTGAAGGAAGAATATACAATTTTTACTGATATAGGGGTTAGTTATTAGAGTTGTAAATATATATACATATATACCAAATTTGTATCCCAACTAGAGGCCAAAATAATGATTGATTCAATAATTTTAATACTTAGTTTCAATGGAAATTATAATTCTTGTGTGGCTTTTAGTTCTGATGTTTGCTTTGCAGTTAATAGAAGAAATTATCACCAAGTTCATTTGGTGCTATATTTGAATCCATTGGATTCAAGAATAATTAGGTTGAAAGAAAATTTCTCATATAAAAATAGTTAATCGGATTTTTTATAAAAATATCGATAAAACTATTATTTAGAAAAAAAGTAATTAAAACCTTTACTTTAGGCCTCTATATATGTATATATAATTTATTTTTCTTTATTTTTATATTCTTTTAAACATTAATTTTTTAATTTTTCAAGTTTTATTATTTCATTTCTTTTTTTTTTGAAAAATATTTTGTTTATATTTTTTATTTTAGTGTTTTATTTTATTTATAGTATTAGAAAATTCAAATAAAAAATATTAAATTTTATTTTAAAAATAAAAAGTATGTGAAAATTAAACTAATTTCAATTTTATGTATTGTTTATAAAAATATAAAAACAACTTCAATTGATAAAAAAGTAATTGAATAATTAGTTATAAATGAAAAATCCGTAATAGTCTCCTAATTTCATTCATGAACAAGTATATAAAGAATTGAAGATAATTTATAGAAGACAAATTTTAGGGTAATAATATAGTAAGTGCAGTTTTTTTAAATATTTAAAACTCAGAACAACAAAAATATGCCTGAACAAAATAAATATGAAATGATAGGAAAATCCGAATTACTTGACATTATATCTAAAAGTAAAAAAAATTATATTTACAAAAAACTAAAAAGGTTGATAAAAAAATAATTATATAATATTATTTATTTAAAAATCCCGATTATAAATAATATAAAAAATATTAATCACCATAAAAAGAATTTGGGAATCTTTGTTTATAATTTTCTTAAAGCAAGAATCTTTCACATAATTTTGAAATATTAATTAATATGTCATGACAATATTTCATGAGAATATATTATTAATTTAACAGGATTCTGTCTAGCATATGGGAGATTGAATCATGTTTTTTGTTTGGTAAAAGTGGAAATCTTTTGATATGAGTATGATTGATAAATACTTTTAAAAGTGAAATTTAGGATCTTCAAACATTATGATGATAAAAACCTTAATCCTTGTTACATTCTCACTGTCTCTCTTGTTCTTATCAAACTTGTCTGATGTTTGTCTTTTCATAATAACAGATAAACAGAAGGTGATATCATATAAGATATAATTTCTGTGTACAATAACCTTTGTAACTTTCAAACAACAATCCTAAAAAAATAAACTTTCAAACAATTATCGTGATTATGATTCATATATTTTGTTGGGTTTTTGCTAGGTGGTTTCATTATGTGTCTTTTCTTCACTGTGAAAAAAAACTGGCATTATTTTGACGTGAGTCTTCTTGGTACATGGAGTGAATCTGTCTTAGTAGAGTTTTCTTCTGTAACCTGATTTGATAGTGTGCAAATTTATAACTAGAATTTATAATAAAGTATTATTTTGCAAGGTGTTAACATTCAAAATATGACAGTGTTTATAAATAGATATATCTTATTACTAACCACCTAGCTTTTTCTCACGAATCTTTCAAATCTTCTGTGTACCTTTCCTTATCTTATAAAACATTTCAAAATATATTTCATATGAAAGTGTGAAGAACAATCTTCAATCAAACTTGTACCAACACAATAACGCATGGCCCACCTAGCTGAGATGGAATTACCTGCACAGTTTCGAATTTTCATCCTCTGAAGTACAAAAGGAATCATCCCTTTATATATATTAAGATGGGGATAGTTGCAGTTCCAAGTTCTTTCTTCTCCAGCAGATAAAATTGTTAAGTTTCTGAATAAGGGTGTGTTCTTTGGTTTTCTCTCTTTCACAGGCACTTACACACTTGTACTTTTGTTGTAAGTTGATCTCTTTCTTTCCTTCTTTCTTGCACTTTTGGTGTATAATTGCATTGAAAGAATGGAAGGGGAAGGAAAGGTATCTGCAGAAAATGAGCCACAAAGCAGGTTCAAAAGAATATGTGTTTTCTGCGGTAGTAGAGCTGGATACAAGTCTGCATTCAGTGATGCAGCTCTTGAGCTTGGTAAATTGATGGTATTTCCTACTCTACTTATGCATACAAATTCATCAAAGAATATGCAATTATTATGCTTTTATGAGTTTTTCATGGATAATAGATATGTTGCTGTTTACTTGTTTTGATTTGTGATGGTGACAGGTTGAAAGGAGAATTGATTTGGTTTATGGAGGAGGAAGCTTAGGACTAATGGGTTTGATCTCTCAGACTGTGCTAAATGGAGGTTGCCATGTTCTTGGGTATATATATTTTTTTTTCGATAATTTTTCTTAATTTATTAGATTAGACATTAGTATTATTAATATAGTTAGTTCCCTTTATGAATTCATAGACTTTAACTGTTTATGTTCTATTTGTTAGAGTGATTCCAGAAGCTCTATTGCCTCGTGAGGTACAATTTTGTCTTCAATTTTGTGATCATGTGCATCTTTGAATCTGAATTCTTTCACACCAGAGGCTCACTCTCATGAAATCCCACTTTTAGATATCTGGAGAGACCTTTGGAGAAGTGAAAACAGCTGCAGATATGCATGAAAGGAAGTCAATCATGTTTGAACATGCAGATGCATTCATAGCACTTCCTGGTATGTTAAAGCTATTAAGTTACAATGTTATAGCATTAGTGGTTTGGTTTCATTCATGTTTGGAGAAAACTTTTCTAGAAATACTTTTTACAGAGAAGAAAAATAAAGATATTGGTAGGTGATAGTTTCTACACAATAGTTAGTTAAAAATGTTTATGAAAAAAAATCTTGAAACATAGTTATAACATAAGCTTAATCAAAGTGCACTACTGTTCAGGAGGGTATGGAACAATGGAAGAGCTGCTAGAAGTGATAGCCTGGTCTCAGCTAGGAATACATGACAAACCAGTATGATTATACTCATTTAATCCTTCCTTCAAGATGAATTAATATGTCATCAAAGTGTTTTAAATCAGGAAGCATTAAGATATGCAGGTTGGATTGTTTAATGTGGATGGATATTTCAATAGCTTGTTGAGCCTATTTGATAAGGGAGTGGAAGAAGGTTTTATACAAAACTCTGCAAGGCATATTATGGTCATAGGAGACACAGCACCAGAACTCATGAACAAAATGGAGGTAAGATATATTTTCTTTTTCCTTTTATTCTTCACAAGTCTGGTTATTAAAATAAAAACAGAACCAAAGATAAAAAATCTTGGAAATTTATTGGTATTGAGATATAAGACAAAACATGGAATTTGCAAATCTTGATATAAGAAAGGCATTCGTAAATTGGTCTGCTCTGGGAATTATTAGGGAGAATGAAGAAAGCAATTGAAGATAATGAAGAAGTGAGGAATGATTTGTCTTGTTCATTTATTTGTTTTCTATTTTCTTTATCACAGGAATATGTTCCCTTTGGTGGCAAATAAAGTTGGAAGTGGAGCAATTATTAGAGGGTACTCAAAGTGGGGAGCCCTAAGGATCTTAAATCTTGATCATCCATCATTGTGAGAAATAAAAATGTATACATAATAATTCAGTTTAGTTCCATTTTGATGAGAAGAAATTGACAGCAAAGTACTCTGTCTCTTTCTCAAGATCCTACGTCTCAACTACCCTTTGTTACTAAAGCTCATCCAACTTAATTATCTCCTTTTGGTACAGGGTATATGTTTAGGGAACCAGTTTTTTTTTTTTTTTTTTTTTTTTTTTTTTTAAATATATTGGTTTAAAATATAATTTTTAGAACACATTCTTTAATCGATTATTTGAAAGACATAAATTTTTTTATAATTATTTTTTCAATTAATCAAGGAAAAGGGTGAAAAGTAAAACTCTAAAAGATACATATTCAATTCCAAGCATGATATGGATGATCAATTTGTGCAGAGAAATAATGAGTGGAAGTCCATGATGAACAAGGATTTAAGAGAGCGATTAGTAGTTTGGTAGGACAAGTTAAAGTAATAAAATAATGTTAAAGTTAACAAAATAATGATATTATAGCAACTTGAAGAAGTGGTGAAGGTTGAATATATTATAAGAGCTGCAGCATGCAGAGCTTAATAATGCTACTACTCTAATATAAAATGCTCAACACCTACAAAACTACGTTATTTAATCATAAACATGGCATAGGGAAATATCTGATAAGAAACTTAGAAATAAGAGTTGAGTGAACCATATAACTACACATCAAATTTCAAATCGAGGTTATCGATATCACACGATTTATGATACATGCATCTTTTCATCATGAACAGAGTCCATTAGAGATATAGATTTCTAAATGCGAATATGTATAATTTATTAGTAAAATATTAATTATATATTTTAATATTATTCTGCGAGTTATAATGAATATGTGCTTCAATGTGTCTGTGAGTTTGTTCATGTTACTTTTTTTATTATTGATTATAAATCTCAAATTTAGGAAATGGGCCTTTCAATTCATGATTTGTATTGCGATTCAACACGCATATTCCTTCAAATCTTAATTGTCCATTTGACTTTCGGTCATTGCTCACTTTTTGTTCACGTTATCTCTTTTTATTATATATACATAATAAGAAATCTATAAATAAATTTAAAACTTATTTTTCATTCTCACATATTATTTATAATAATCTAAAACAATAATTTATCTTAATATAAAATTATAAGAAGATAAAAATTAAATATGTAATTACTTTTTGAATAAATGATCCTTTATTAAGAAAAATTTCTTTCCTTTAAGAATAAAAAGAATTAAAAATTTATTATCCATTATCACAATAATTTATTCTCTTATAATATATATATATATATATATATATATATATATATATATATATATATATATATATATATATTTATGTCTAGAAGGCATGAACCTAGAAAAGAACATGAGTTATTGGGATTTCAGACATGATGTATTTTACTCTGGCCATAGCCATATAGCTTATTGACCAAATAATCGTCGTGTAAATGGACTAGGCCCATACATGCATGTTCAAGGGCATAGTTTTCATGCCAAAGAAATAGAATCTAGCTGCCGTTTGACAGTACTAGTAGTATTAAAATCATAGGTACACTAACCTTATTATGACTGTAGTTCTAATTTTATTGGCTATTCCCATTGGTAAAGTTGAGTTACAATTATTCTTCACACTTGCATATTCACACTGCTTTTCATACCTGTACCTGTTTCTAATTTTGGTTTTTCATTGTAATATGTTTTAAAATGTGTTATTGACTTTCTTATAACTGGTTAAAAATGGTATCAACAAGAACAGATTGCAAGAAAATCTAAGTGTAGGTAACAATTAGTCATACGAGAGGTGCAATAAATCCGTGCAGGTAGATATCACTGAGGACCAAACAGTATTGGCAGGCTTGCTCAAAGATATGCAAGCTGCTATTGCTGCAATATACATTACATGAATTTGTCAGAACAAGGTTTTACAGAAGTCATCTACCTGTGTTGCCTAGACACCTAAGCATGGAAATATGATTGCATTTAGTTAATGAAGATCCACTACAATTTTTAAAATCAGGCGGGCACCAGGACATCTGGCAAGTCTAGCATTATCTAAATTCAAATGAGGGCCTATCCACATGTGCTAATACAAGGGTAAAGGAACAAGCTGTTTGCGAAGATTGTCAGTTGAATCCCATCAAAAGCATTTCCGGTGAACAATGGAAGGCCCAGTTTCATCATAGTCTGCCTTAGTTACATGTTGATTTTGAGGAAAAACTACTTTGGCAAGTATTGCACCTCCCACCCATGCCGAATACACGGTTAAATTTTCTGGCATGTATTCTGGAGGCTGCAATATACCAGAGATTACGTATCAGAGGAAACATAATTAGAACATGAATAACCATATAAAGTTTATGGAGAAAAGTATAGAATAAGGATGAACTACTATAAAAATTAGCCCGCAACCTTTTATTCTGGTCTAATCATGTGAATTGCAAAAGAATGGAAAGAAAACCATGGATAGCAAGCACATGGATCTCATATTTCCTTACTCATCAGATTTCAAGAATTAGTGGCCACAAAAATGAAACAAATTCTTTCCAAGGTTAAATACTCAAAACATAAATACGATGTCAATGAGACATGCTTGTCAGATTATTTATTTGACAAACATTACCTTTACTAGGGTAGGTCGAATAGCAGATGAACTTAGGCTTGATTCCTTCTGAAATCTCTCCTCAAAACCTGCAGTAAGAAGCAACATTGGCCTTTAACTTTCTCATAAAAAGCGATCAGATTACTGAGATAACCCTCATCTTGTCAAGAACATACTCAAATTGATGTCTTACACAACAATGGTTTCCTACCTAAATTCCATACGCAAATAAATGCAAAGAAGTTATTGAACAATGGAATATACAGCGCATTTTATGCACATCAAGGAACAACACATGCAGAACAGCACAAGACAGGTGAGTTACAAGACAAGTTTTTGTTCTGTGTACTAATTGGTGGTGAATGCACGATATAAGAAATTGTGTTATTCGCTGTTTCATAACGGCAGTATGGGAAAGAACAAATTGAATTGTATGTATAAATAAGTTTTTAGTCTCTCAAATTTGTGATAAGTTTGTTTTAGTTACCCAAATTTGAAATTGATATTTTTTAATTCCAATAATTTTGAAAAGATGTTTTTGTAGTACTTTTCCCCCAAATTCTATTTTGATTTTACATTCTTATCATCAAATACCCTATGACATGTTTATTTTCCTTATGACATTTTGGTAGAAGACGATTGAGAAAAAGACTAAAAGCAAGTTTTTTCAGCTTACAAGAATTAAAAATATCAATTTTAAGCAATGACACATTTACCATAGATTTGAGAGAGTACAATTATAATTAAACCCAAATTTTATTATAATACTTTGTGCTGCATAATGCTTATTACGCATGATGAAAAGGTTCAATATTTTTTATATTTTAACAGTTACATTTAATAATTCATTATATATTATTTCCTATATTATAGTATATATAACCATAATATAACATTATAATCAGGGAAAATTGCACTCTCCTCCCTTGAAAGCTTTCTAAATGATAGTCAATCCTTTCTATTTTTAAAAAAATAAAAAAACTCACGTCCCCTTGCTAGTAGAGCATGGTACTACCTTTGAAAGCAACAAATAAATAGGAGCAATTTTATTTTTTTTGTTTCAAAAATCCTATACTTAAAAAGATCAGGAGTAATAAAGAAAATTTGTATTATTCGAGTGAAATATACAAAGAAGCAAGGCCCATGATTAGTTCTGTTGTACACATATTAATGAAAAAATAAACATAGGATCCCAAATACTAGATTCAGCAGAACTTATGAACTAATGGTTTACCAGTCATAGAAGAAGTGCCACCACAAACCACAGTATTTTCAAGAAGTTGACGATGATTATCAGATGACACATTTGAAATGGTACGAACAAGTTGGTCAACAATACCATGAGCCTCTAAACCCAATAGACATGGCTGGAATAAAGCTTCACCAATGGTATATCTCTCTCTTCCAATTTTAATGACCTATTCATAATTCAGAAATCAGGGTAGATCAAGTCATAAAATATAGAAGATCCAAAGTAAGAATGAGAGAGAGCACACACTAAAGGTAGAGAATTAAATCACTAGCATGGCAGTCATAGGTAGTACAGATGAGCAAAATAAACCAGAAGGAAAACAAATTGCTGACTGAACCAAAAAAACCGTACTGGCACACCAAGTTCATACCATGAACTTGGAGAGAGTTATGTTTGTAGGTCACAGCAACAAGAAAGACCTGACATTTGGAGAGATTATTCAAGATAAAACACTCCTCTTGCGCTTAAGTCCTAAAACACTACCAATTCTTCAACCCAACTTTCACTTTTGTTTGTTTTCCATTTGTACTAAAGTTTGTCAGATCTACCATAAAACAAACTTGATTGAAGAACTGACCAAATACATCAGAACAGGAACAAGTAAATGAAAAACCATTGAGTAATAACTAATAAATAGAGGAACAAAGAGCCATGCCTGTCCATCAGGAAGGGTATGTGTCTCCACAGGGCATGAATCTTGAGTCTTCTGATAAGCTAATTCATCTTCAGCACAGCATGAGTATTGCTGTTTTATTTTCTCCACATCAGAGATGCTGATATTCAATAGCGGATTGGATTTGCCAAGTTCTTGAGCCAGGAAATTAGTTAGATCAATACCTCCAAACTCAAATCTTCTCGAGGCAATGTGGTTAACAGCACCCTCAATCACTGGTGCAATATCTGATTAGGCAAGCCAAAAAAGATCAAGTTGTGCACAACTAGTAAGCTCAGCAGCAAGTTCATTTTGAAAGAGAAACACTCAGCAAACAACTCATGCACTTGGGTAGCACATACAATTTTTATTAGACCATCAAAGATGGCATGTAGAATAGGAAGGGTAAAATGAATATGCAATTGCAGGTAATAGTTCAATTTTTAAGTCATCCTTTGGACTCTTTCGGCTTTCAAGAGATGGACGTCCCAGGTAATTTATATTTGATCACTGACACATGATAAGTAACTATACATTGCTTTTATTTTATTCCATTGCAATACAGATATTTAACTACAACAGGTGTCTAGTCACCCATTGAGTTTGGGGCACAAACATCACATTAATATGTGATAGAGATAACATATACACCCACATTCAAATCAGATAACTTGATGTACAGCAAGCAAATCAAATAAATCATCTTTGTTTGCAATATTTATTTATACAATTTAAACAAATCTTGAATTCCCATTCTTTCAGATATGGATACCTATTTTTCCATGACCAATATCAACTGTGCATCCAGAGATACGTCCTACGGCATATAGTGACAACACTGCTTGTTCAGATGCATAAAACCCTGATATGTTGAACGTTTCAAACATTAGTTGCACTAACTGTTCCTTGTTAGCCTGGAAAACAATAATATATACATCAGTTAAAGAAAACATTAAAGAAAAGTTGAACTAAAGAGTACTACAAACTTGTAACCCTCAATTTTGATTTCACGTTAAATTTGACGAATTATGGGCATGTTTAGATAAACCTTTCTAGAAACACTTTTAGGAGAAGAAAATAAGAAAAAAAAAAAAAAAACTTCTCCATTTGCTAAAATTAGTTTATGAATAATACTAAGGTTGAGAGAGAGAATCAAGAAGAGATTTAAATTTCATGTAAAATGAATTTTTAAACCAACCAAAACTGAGTCAAGTATATAAAGCTAACTAATCTGTAACAAAAACTGAATACAATCAAGTATATAGAGCTCTAACTAACCTGTAACAAACCTAATTAACTCGGAGGTACTTAGGAGGAGGTTAAAAGAGGCAGTTGTATTGCTAAAGTGTTAGCAATACCTACTGCAGTACAAAAATAGAAAAGAAAACCATATTTTGCAGAGTAACTATACTCTAATACATAAGCTAATATCAGAGAACTTCTACAAATTTACCTTACTTATAAACTAATTTTAACTTTTGAAGAAAGTAGGTTTATTTTTTTCTTCTTATTTTCTTCCTTTAGATTTGTTTTTGAAGAAGTTTAGCCAAACAGATGCTATATCATTATTAATATGTAGTTGAATAAAATCATAAACTGGAAACACAATTTTTTCCTAGACAATACTTGAAATAGAAAAAAGAAAATAAAGAACTGATTTTGAGAGCCTGAAATCATCTTCTTGTGTTCTCTTATTTATAGGAGATAAAAATACAGATTCAGAGATACAATTAATAGAGAGACATGATTAATCCTAGAGAAGATAAACAGATGCATTCTAGGAACTAGGTCTACAACTAATCTCATAAATGTCCAACAAGATACACTTAATCTAATAAATACTTCAACACTCCCCCTCAAGCTGGAGCATACAAATTGAATGTACCAAGCTTGGAACAAATGAATTCCATTCGAGGTCCTCTCAAAGATTTTGTTAATGCATCCGCAAGCTGATCATTGGAACCAACAAACTCAAGTACAAATTTCTTTAGTCAACAACTTCTCCCGAATAAAATGACAATCAATCTCAATATGCTTAGTCCTCTCATGAAATACTGGGTTGGAAGCAATGTGAAGAGCAGCTTGATTATCACAATACATCTTCATAGATTGAATCTCACAGAAGTTCAATTCTTGCAAGAATTGTTTTACCCAAACAAGTTCACAAGTAAGAGACGCCATTGCCCTATATTCAACTTCAACAGAGGATCGGGCAACAACGTTTTGCTTTTTGCTTTTCCATGAAATGATATTTCCTCCAATGAAAACACAATAGCCTATAGTGGAACGCCTATCCATAGGAGATCCAACCCAGTCAGCATCACAGTACCCAAAAATTTGGGTATTTCCCTTATCTTCATATAATAATCCTTGTCCTGGAGTTTTTTTAATGTATCTTAAGATTCGAATGATAGCATTCCAATGATCCACACAAGGAGCTTGCATAAATTGGCTGACAACACCAACTGCAAAAGACAAATCAGGTCTAGTAATCGTCAAATAAATAAGTTTCCCAACCAGTCTTCTATATCTTTCTGGGTCAGAGAAACTTTACCCTGTCCTGCCATTAACTTCAAATTTGGATCCATAGGATCTGTCCACGAGTTTGCAATCAATCATACCTGTCTCTTTTAGAATATCTAGAGCATACTTCCTTTGAGAGATGACAATACCTTCTCTTGATTGAGCTACTTCAATACCCAAGAAATATTTTAGATTTCCAAGATCCTTGGTCCGAAAATGACTACACAAGTGCTCTTTTAGTCGAGATATTTTAGCAAGCATCATTCCCTGTGATGACAATATAATCAACGTACACAATTAAATAAACATGTTTGCCAGGGGCAGTGTGACAATAAAACACTGAATGATTTGCTTCGCTGCGTTTTAATCCAAAAGCTTGAACAATAGAGCTGAATTTTCCAAACCAAGCACGTGGAGACTGTTTTAGGCCATAGAGGGATCGACGTAATTTACAAACCAAACCAGACTCCCCCTGAGCAACAAATCCAAGAGGTTGCTCCATGTAAACTTCTTCTAAGTCACCGTGCAAAAAAGCATTTTTAATATCCAATTGATGAAGAGGCCAATGACGAATGGCGGCCATGGCAAGGAACAGGCGGACAGTGGTCATTTTGGCTACTGGAGAAAAAGTATCACAATAATCAAGTCCATATATTTGAGAATACCCTTTAGCCACTAACCTTGCTTTAAGACGATCAACCTGACCATTGGGCCCAACTTTAATAGCATAGATCCAACGACAACCAACTGTTTTCTTTCCCGAAGGAAGAGGAACAAGCTCCCATGTTTTGCTGTGATCAAGAGCCTGCATTTCAGAAATCATGGCTTGTCGCCATCCAGGATGATCAAGCGCTTCGACCACAATTTTGGGAATTGTAATAGAGGAGACAGAGGAAATAAAAGAACAATAGGAAGGAGACAATCTATGATAACTAAGAAAATTGTAAATGGGATGAGGATTACGGGTAGAACGAGTACCTTTGCGAATGGCAATGGGCCAACTGCAGTCATCGTTATCAGGAGCCGTGGTATTAGAGGATGATGGTGAAGGACCTGCTATGGATGGCTTATCTTGGGGAATGAGATTGTTCACCTGGTTCGATTCTAGAGTATTTTGGTTGGGATTTGGGGTGTCAGGAATAGGAGGTACAACTGATTCAACCAAGGGAACAGGAAACACATTTTGGACAGAATCAATATCCTGCATAGAATAAGGGAAGAAGGATGATGATTAAAAAAAGGTAACATTAGCAGACATGTAATACCTCTTGGTTTCAGGAGAATAACACCGATATCCTTTTTGAAGACGAGAATACTCCAAGAAGACACATTTGATAACTCTAGGTAAGAGTTTATCTAAGCCAGGAGACATGTCATGAAAAAAACATATACATCCAAATACCCTAGGAGAAACATGAAAAATTGGTTCCTTTGGAAATAGAATAGAGTGTGGAACTTTATTATCAAGAGAAGAAGATGGCATTCTATTAATGAGAAAGCATGCAGTTAGAATAACATCTCCCCAATGATGAATATGCATATTGGCACCCAGCAATAAGGTACGAGCAGTTTCAACCAAATGTCTATTTTTTCGTTCTACAATACCATTTTGCTGTGGTGTATGAGGACACGTGGACTGGTGTAAAATGCCTTGAGAATTTAGGACATTAGAAAAATCATTAGAAAAGTACTCTTTGGCATTATCACTTCGTAAAACTTTGATTACTTTTCCAAATGGAGTTTTGATTTCATTAAGGAAAGACTTAAAGATAAGCAATAGTTCAGAACGATCTTTCATAAGATAAACCCAAGTACATCTAGACAACCCATCAATAAAAGTAACAAAATATCTACAACCAAAAGATGAAACACGACTAGGTCCCCATATATCTGAATGAACAATACTAAAAGCAAAATCACATCTAGATTCAGAATGATTTGGAAAGGATGACCTGGTATGTTTCCCTAGTTGACAGGATTCACATTCAAAAGTTTGAAGGTTCTGAAGTTCAGGAACCATTTTTTTCAATTTTGCTAAATGAGGATGCCCTAATCGCTCATGTAATAGTTTTGGGGATAAGGATGCAACACAAGATACAGATGACTTAGTCCTAAGGTAGTATAAGCCTCCAGATTCATGTCCTTCTCCAATCAGTCGACCCGTACCATGTTCCTGGATAACAAAACAATTGGCATTAAAGGTTACTGAGCAATTCAATGATTTGGTTAATTGGCTTACAGAAACAAGACTGAATGGAAAAGAAGGAACACAAAGAACATTTTGAAGGTTTAAAGAAGAAGAGATGGATACTTGACCATTTCCTTTAGAGGCTACTTTAGATCCATTAGCTAAAGATATGAGATGGGATGTTTTAGGAAATGAAAGAGAGGAAAATAAAGAGGTATTACCAGACATGTGGTCAGAAGCACCTGAGTCAATAATCCATGGATTTTGACTTTCCACATATTGCGAAATGCAAGCGGTTGACGAATTTGGTGTTGTAGATGCTTGAGCCAAATTGGTTGATTTCATCCTTAAATATTCTTGATACTCTTCATGAGAGAACTTGGGCTCATCAACTTCAGATTTGGAGGTATTAGCTGCCTTATCAAGAAAGTCGTGCAGAGCAAAGCAATTTTCCTTAGTATGTCCCATTCTTTTGCAATGAGAGCACTGAGGACGTCCTTTCCCACCACGTCCTCTAGAGCTGTGATTACCTCTTCCACGAGCAGAAATCATGGCGGAAGAATCAGCAAGTTCCTGACTATTTTTGCTTTTGATAGAAGGAACACGAAGTAGCCTTGTGATTAAACTCTCCGTAGAAGGAACTTCTTCTCCAGTTAGAATCTGGTCTCTAACATGATTAAACTCTGGATTCATAGCCCTAAGAATCATTACCATATAGAATTTATCCGGCTTCGTCTTCCTTTCTTCTAATGATTCTGCCTCCAAGAACATTTTTAATTCTTCAACAGCTGACTGAGCTTCAGCAACAAAGGACATCATGGAATTATCCTCTTGCTTAAGGGAGGCTAGTCTATTAGCAGAATCATAAAGTCGTTGAATATCGTTAGCAAAGATATTTTGGGCCTTTTTCCAAAAAGAATTACATGTCTTGAAGGCTCGAAGAGTGCTCAAAATATGTGGTTCAACAGATTGCCATAATAGTGCACAAAGTTGATAATCCAGTTTCTTCCATTGAGGAGCCTGATCTGCTGGTATAGTACTTCCATCTTCTTCTAGATGATCATGAACTCCTTGACCTAGAAACCAGAGCTCAACAGAGGAAGCCCAAGACAAATAATTTTTTCCATTTAATTTTTCTGTGGTTATAGTCGGAGTCCCAAAAAAAGATACAGACACAGGTCCTGACATTTTCCAGGAAACAAGAAAGGACTAGTGTGCTGTCAGAGAGAGGCAGAGAGAAAAACACAGACCCACCACGTTTTGTGACCGAGAACACAAAACAAAGTGCAGATCTGGCACCAGGGCGACGAGGCAAGCCGGATAGAGGTGGCCTGGAGCAAAACAGCCACCGAGAGGGCGGCGCGTGAGGCCCACGTGCTGAGGAACCCGCGGACGAGGGTGGCGCGTGGCGGCACGTGAGGGAGAGATAGAGGAAGCGAACACTGGGGTTGGGTCGCACTCCTCGAGGCGAGCCAAACCCAAGTGTCAGAGAGGAAAAAGGCGCCGGAGAAGACAGCACCGGCAGCGAACGGCGGTGAACGACGATTAATGCCAGAAAAAAAAAATAGAGACAGGCAGAGCGGGATGAACCCGCTCTAATACCAACTTGAAATAGAAAAAATAAAATAAAGAACTGATTTTGAGAGCCTGAAATCATCTTCTTGTGTTCTCTTATTTATAGGAGATAAAAATACAGATTCAGAGATACAATTAATAGAGAGACATGATTAATCCTAGAGAAGATAAACAGATGCATTCTAGGAACTAGGTCTACAACTAATCTCATAAATGTCCAACAAGATACACTTAATCTAATAAATACTTCAACAACAATAACATAAATATACACAAAAAAGATGACACCAAAATTCTAAAAGAGTACATAATTAATTTTTATTAACCAAGGAGGGAAACTGGAGGAATACACCAGCAAACACACATAAACAGCCGCATTATTAAGACCCTCTTAGGATAAAAAAGGTATATAGGTACTTCAAATTAAGCTTGTTAATAAGCTGCACTGCCATACATACGACAGGCCTAAAATAAGCAAAATAGTAATAGAGACTTCAAGAAATGCTGTAGTAGTAATGGACTTTGGATAACTCGATACAATAAATTGAAAGGAATTATCACAGAAACAACTACTATCCATTGTTTTCATAAGCTTTAATTCCTAACTGTGCCAAAAATAGTTAACAAGTGCTCATTACAACATATAATCCCAAACTAACTGAAAATAGGATCAACAAAAAGGCACATTTTTAAATCAGTAATATTTTTTCAATGACAATTAAAAGCATAAACTTCTAAACTCAAACCTTTGGAGTGCAAAGTGGATCCGTGAACAGTATCTGCCCTTCATTGCCCATTTCCCATCCAAGGCCGGTATACAATACATAATGCAGCAAATCCTCCATGGCATCCCAATCTCTGACATAACCTCGGCACACCGGATCGACAGCAACCTCGTCCAGTACCGGGTTATCGGTCACAGACTCATCATCGAGCATTCGCTTCATCTGAGTGGGAATTATCTGAATAAAAAAGAACCTCAATTAGGGACACACATTGCCGGAGGACATAAAATTAACACATTTCGATAAATTTTGTGGAGAAATGAAAAGAAAAGCAAAGGGGAAATGAATTTTCAGGCGAGATTTGATGTGATACCATGGCGGGAGCTTGATCGGGAATCGCAAAACCGGCTTTGAGGAGGCTGGAACCGGGGTCGACCACTGCGGCTTCCATAGCTCTGCACGAAACCGAAAACCCTAACCCTAGGTTTCGGTGTTGTGAAACTAGTCTGAGCACTGAAGTGAGTAGCGAGAAGCTGCAGCAGAAGAACAACGAAGAAACAAATACAGTTATTAGCGGGTTTTAATTTGAATATGAATATACGCTGGTGCTGTTTCGTAGTTCTTTGATTTAGTTTTTTTATTTTTATTTTTTACCAGCAGAAGGAGTGATATGCACATTTTTTTTCCGTCAGATATTAATTAATGGTATATTCGTAAAATACTTAAAATAATTCGAATATGCTAAGCAATTTTTAAACAATGTAAAAACATGTTTTTGTTTATTGCAATGTAACTGGTGTTTATTGAAGTAGTGGGTTGAAAGACAAGAAAAACAAATTGTAAACGAAATGGTATACTGATTTTATTGAAGTTATATATAATAAATATAGGTATTATTATTTTAGCATATAATTTGCATAATTAAACTTATAATAAATAAATAACTCTAGAAGAAATAATATACTATAAAGTAAATAAAATTTTTACAAATTTATATTATCATCAAATTATAAATTATTATATATAATACATTTATTAGTTATTATACTAATTATTTAAAATTTATAATGAAATTTATTTATTATTGGTTAATAGTATGAAAGTGATGGTAAATACCAATTATATTTGTTATATTGATAATTTTTTTTATTTAAGAATAGATGTTAATGTAATTTATTTTTTAGTCATTAAAATACTTTTTAACAATAAAATTATGACGGATTATAATTTTAAAACGAATATAGATATTTTTATCATAAATGAAAGAAATTGAATTTACCTTTACAAAATTTTGAAAGTGAGTATCAAACATGGTCCTTCTTTATAATTTATTATTGTCTTTTTGTTATTGTGACGGATTAAACTTTTAAATTAGAAAATACAGGAGACATGATAATGAATCTAACTGTATTATAATAACAAATATAAGATAAAAAAAAATTATTTTAGAAGAGAGAAATTGAATTCATACAAGAGTAAAAGTTATCATTAACATGGAAACAGAAATTGAATTCACATAAGAGTAAAATGTTATCATTAACATGAAAAAAAATTACATCCTAAAAAATTTAAAAGTGATTATCAAACGTAATTTTTTCTTGTCTCGTAGATACCTCCTCTTTTATTATTGGATGAAACGTAATATAGATAGAATCCCTAAAAAGTGTATTTGGTCTTATTGCATGTGGTGATGATATCTTTTAAGTGGTATATGATTTCCTGGAATAATATGTTGCATAGCATTAAGACTACTTAGCACGTACATATTATATAAAGAAGAGAGAATTATTGTGTGTGATAAACTTGTATGCTTGGATAGTAAGATAGTACTCCAAATTTTATTAGATATGGCTTTTGGTTAGTCTATTTGTACCTTTGTTTTTTCTTTATAGTTTTATGTTATTTGATGTAACAAATAATTGGCATAATTTGAAGTATCAACTTAATTGAGAATACAAGTTACAATGTCTTTGTATACTTTTTTTATTTTCTAAAATACTAAGAAAAATAAGAATCATCATATATAATTTTTGCTCAACACAATTTTCACAGATTGAAAAACCTGTACATCTATTTCCATGATCCACAATGACAGTTGAGGACCTTCATGGGTTAAAAATATGATGTAGGCTATGACGAAAAACTAAACCAACGGTTCAATGGTTAGGGTTATTGACCTAAATCTGGTAGTTTCAACTTTTACATTTATATTTAAAAAAAAAACAAAAATTTACAATGTTCTCTTCTACAATGTGTTGTTGATTAGAAAATGCGTTGGAAGTGGTACCTCTTCTACTGATCCACACTCCCAACTCCTCAGATTGCATATTTTGCTAAAATCTTGTCTGAGGACCTTTGTCATTTCACATTTTAAATGAAAAAAAATTAAAAAAATGAAATGCAACCATATTATGGACAACACCAGATACAGATTTCACTATGGACCGTTCTTGCGAAAGAAAAATAAAAAATACACTGTTGACTTATCTAAGCGATCCATGTGAACAGATCTCAGTTATCCAAAGCGAACAATTTACTTTAGAGAATAAATCCAATAATACAAAGATCAATAATTGAATGTTGTATAATTGTATATAACAGATTTATACATGTGTTAGTTAAATTTGGTTACTTCAGAAGAGTCATATCCGACACATGTATGCCAAAATGAACAACATCCTCAATAGAGGTCGATTGTTAGAAAAGAAAAAATAAAGTTCTATGGTAAGAGAGGTTAACCCTTTGTGATGACAGAAATCAAAAGAAAATACAAGTGAAATTCTATTAAGTACAAAAATACAATATCCCAACCCTTCCTTCATTCTTCCCTATCCTTTCCTCCCATTTTGATCCTCTGATTGGAGAATACAACTTTCATAGTCTTGTCAGGAATCGTGCAATGGCAGCAATGATAGGAAGAGGATTCTCCAAATGAGCGGCATGGCCACAGCTGGGAATCTCAACAACCTCATGTATGTCATTCCCTTCTTCATAATTACTCCCCAAGCCAGAGCACAATGTTTTCATCATTTTTCGAGCGATATTTCTGAATTTTGTATCCGTTTCTCCATGAATGATAAGAAGAGGTACTCTACAATTTTGCAAATCTTCCCACATTGACCTGCTCTCTCAGTCAAACGAGAAATTGTTAGTCAAATGATGACAACATTGAACTGAACTTAGCTATGTCAAGAAGGGAGATAATGCAGTAGAGTTTTTAATCCACATGAAAGCCATTGCCGTTGTAGTATGTAGATGAATATACACAATGAAATGTAACTCTAATGGAATATTAAAATGATTCAAGGCAAGTTTGGTGGCAAAGGAATAATCATAAATGTATGGTGTTGACCATGACGAGAAATTTGTCCTTGTGGTAAAAAATGAGTACAGGTATGAACAGTCTCTCCCTCTCCCTAGCTGCCTACTCTGGCTGGAACCTTGCTTGGCGCTGAAATGTTTTCTTCTATAAAGACCTAGAAGAAGAAGTCTTTTGGAGATACCCCCACCCAATATTTGAGTCACACGGTAAAGAAATTTAGGTGTGTAAGATAAAGAAGGCTTTGTATGACTTGTGCTATATTTTCAACCACTGAACATAGTTTTTTGGCTTTGTTTTCAGCCAACCGTTTGTTCATGCATCTCAAACACAGCTCTTTGCTCTATGTTTTGTTCTGTTCATGTGTAGTGGTGTTCCTTTCTCACCACTTACTCCAAACTCTCCTAATAGATCTTTATTTTGTTCCAACTCCTTTTGTTTTCTGCTCGCATTGATGACATGTTATTTTTTTTTTCTTTTTTGTTAATTTCATCATCATATTAGAATGCAATGTACATTTTTCAATGGTGGTCTTGCATGTATCATCTATAATGTATATACTATATATTTCATGTCTTCATTAATTTCTCTGCAGAGAAGCAATTTTAACGAAGTTTGAGATATTACGGTCTTTGATTCTATGGATATTCAACTGGATGGGAAGAAGACACTAACAGAGATAAATGAAGCAAGGAATGAACAAAATAGTTAAGCTTAATTTGCTTACCGATGCCTTCCTATGCTTAATCCAGACAACATCTGTGCCAGATTCAGCACGTCATCATGCTGCAAGCGACTAGCAATGATTCGATTGAAATGGGGATGACTTCTTAAGCTGTTTGATAATACAAAAGTTGATTGAGATGCTTATAGAAGGAGTACATAATAAGATCAACGTAAATCCTGCCCAATCTAAAGGTTACCTTTTCCACAGTTCTCCAGCATACCAGGAACTGACAAAAAGTTCTAAACCATTTGCAATGACTGTGAGTGCTCTAGAATCATCTTTAGCAGCACGAATTTTTCTTGATAATTTATCATTTAATCCAGGGCTTCCAGATATTAATACCGCACCCTTTATCTGGCATCATATATGCTAAAATTCCTTACCAATGGTCAAGAAAACATCAAAACAAAGTAATAACATTCAATATAACCATCATACCTTTGTGCCAAATTTGAGAGCCATAAACAATGCAATCCTTGCGCCCATTGAATACCCAACTAGTGTAACTTTTGCTGGAGCTATGTGATGAATTAATTTATGCAATATATCAGCAATTGTCTCTAGTGACAACTCTGGTTCCTCCTCACCAACACCCTTTACGCCATGTAATATCGATTTTCCATGACCAGGAAGGTCGACAGAAATGCACTTGGCTGATCCAGAAAAGGTCTTCATGATACTAATCCAGTCTTTACCAGTTCCAAGAAAACCATGAAGAAATACCAGTACGCTATCCTACATTTGCTTAATCTAAATAAATCAGATATATGAGGGAGTCAAATTTTACTATCAGGAAATACATACAAAGACAGCATTTTACCCATATATACAATATACAACAGATTTGCTTGTAACGTCAAGGAGAGTGATTTTAAAAATCTAGCCATACTACTCCTCATTACAGTCATTATAGCATCTGTTCACTTAGTATAAATGTTCGGGCTTGTTTTAAAGCTTAAATTTGGAAAATTATTTTTATTGATTTAACAACTGATTAGAGAGGGTGAACAAATAGGATAATTCTAGGACTTAAAAGCACATGAGGAGACCCCAACCCCAAAGGTGGCTCCATTAGGTGGGAGAGCCTCAAGGCTTAAGTATCATATTAAGTAGCTTATCCTACTCAATGTAGGACTCTTAACATTGCCGCACCCACTTCAAGGGCTGACATTCACAGCAGCTTCACTCTATTGACACTGACCTAATGGTGCCCTTTTCTCTTTATGATGACTTCAATCATCTCTCCGTAGCCCAACTTTCAATTAAAGAAACAATTGTTAGGACTCAAGCACAATAGGAGAGTCCAACCCAAAAGACTAGTGCATTAGGTGGGAGAGCATCAACGCTTAAGTGCCACATCAAGTAGCCTATCCTCTTCAATGTAAGACTCCTAACAGATAATAAAACAGAGCATGTAAATGTTCTAATCCAAAAATTTGAGTATCGAGCAGGAGAGGTGTTATCCAACTGACTCTCGGGTGGTTGATAGATGGTTAGGTCAGTTGCACAGCAGTCACAATGGCAGCTGTATCCGGTGCAATTATCTTCTTGTAATTTCTATGTATGTGCTAAAAAGGGAAAACAATAATACAATCAATCTGCAAATTAAAACAAATAAGTAGTGTTTACTCGTGGACGAGGGTAAAATGATCCCGATTGATTTTAAGAGAACAATTCTTGTTTATATTATCCTGACTGATTTTAGAGAGAGAAAATATCTTGTTTTCCACCAACATTCTGCCTTCGACATCATGCTTTTGCAGTATATGGTAATCTGGTAAAAGTAGTGGAAAACTAGGGTTTTCATACATTGTTCTATGTAGTTTTAATATCTATATGATCCCATCTTATATTAAGGGGTTAAAGCATGTCATTGACACAAGTTAGGAATCCTAAGATACAAACAAAGTACTACGATGCAAGATAATAAATACATTCCTAACAGAAGCAGTGTGCTCCATAGATAGTTGTTACCATAACAAGAGTCTGCACCTAAATTACTAATCAAAATTAAAGCACGCTGAATCAAATATAGATCAGTAATCCCAAAATCATTTTTAAAGTTTAGGATTTTAAATAGAATATTATGTAGGAAACTTCTATACTTACGTTTGTTTTAAGGCCAGTCTCACGAACTTCAAAAGAACAAGATACATTGTCAAGCTCTACTTTATATTGGTACTGACGAACTTGCTCCTCAACAATAACATAAGAGACAACTTTCTGGTTGACTTGAAAATCATGTACCAGTCGACTAGCATTTGCCACAGATGCTTCAACAAAACCACTATGTGGATTACGACATATCAAAAGAGGATTAGCTGTTACATCTTCCTTAAGCCAACGGTAGGTTCCAAGACCATGTGCTACAGTAGGTGCTGCCACATTATCTAACACTTTGAATGTACTTAAACTCAGCATTTCAAGATAACTAGAAAACTGAGTATATGCAGAAAGACTAAGGCTGCTTTCAAATGCAGCACTTACAACGGCCATCTTCCCCATATGGTACGCCCATTGAGCAATTAATGCTGCATTCTCAAAGCCACCGACAACACTTGGTTTAATAACCTGAAGATTCATTACAAAATTCTTAACAAAACAAAGATTTATCATTTTAAATGGACAAGGTCATAAACTCATTTTTGAAAATTTTAAATATGTTGGAGTTCTGATAGGAATTTATAAAAGAATATTCTGTTTCAACTAACCAATAGATTGATCCAATTGGAGTCATAATAGTTGAACACATATAAAAAGAAAATGTCACAACTCTAGCTGGTGAGTTTTAGAGTAGAACTTTATTTTCTCTATTGACTATCATAAGAAGGAATCACACATAAATAAAACACTAAGGGCTGAAAAATAGGAAATCCAATAAATATGAAATTTCCCAATTAGCAGTTCTCTAGGCTAGAAAGAAGGATCTCAATTATAAAATCTGATAAAATAATTTCAGATCTTTCCTACTTTATAATTATAATTTTCTAAAATCAAGAACAGGCGGATATTCCTCCTAAACACAATTGCATCCTCACTTAGTACAATGCTACTGGAGCTCAATAATACTTATTCATTTTTTTGTAGTTTGTTCTAATCTTATAGCTTGAAAAAAACGGTAAAGAGTATGCAGACACATAAATAATAAAATATCTTAAAAGATCCAAAAGGATATTGTACTTTCTTTATTTCCCTATTTCTCACAGTTTCCTTAGTTTCTGTTATAGGGACAACTTTTCTTCTATAATAGAAAGATGGGAAAATGTAATTAGTGTGACAGAAATTATAAAAGATAGTCATCTTTAAACTATACCATAGCAGAATTACTTTGTTAATTTATCTTGAAGAAAGCATATAAGTAGGATAAAATTCTCTCAATTTCTCAGAAAAACGATATTGCAGTTTGGTAATATAACTATATTTTGAATTTTGAAAAGAAACAATACCAATACCTTAATAATGTAAAGCTAGGCTGCCCTTAATATGTTACAGAAATTCTTTTATACTTACAACAGCAGCTATGGCTGGATGAGTAAACTTCACTAGCTTTTCCATGGGATTTTCTTGAATATTATCTATGGTTTGATCTAGGGCAACAGATATTGCAGTTTGGTAATATAACTATATTTTGAATTTTGAAAAGAAACAATACCAATACCTAAAAATGTAAAGCTAGGCCGCCCTTAATATGTTACAGAAATTCTTTTTTACTTACAACAGCAGCTATGGCTGGATGAGTAAACTTCACTAGCTTATCCATGGGATTTTCTTGAATATTATCTATGGTTTGATCTAGGGCAACAGATATTGCAGTTAGGTAATATAACTATATTTTGAATTTTGAAAAGAAACAATACCAATACCTAAATAATGTAAAGCTAGGCCGCCCCTAATATGTTACAGAAATTCTTTTTTACTTACAACAGCAGCTATGGCTGGATGAGTAAACTTCACTAGCTTTTCCATGGGATTTTCTTGAATATTATCTATGGTTTCATCTAGGGCAACAGATAAGCCGCTTTCTTCACAAAACTTGAGAATATTATCCTCATCCTGAACAGGCTCCTGTAAAGGGGATATTTTAATCAAGTTATAAACAGACATGAACCAACCAATAAATTGGTGGAAACCATATAAAGAAAAGCTGAAGAGTAACTGCATGAAAGTCTACCTCAATATACTGTAGGTTACAATCCTTAACCAAAGAGCTGAATATCATTGCCTCTTCATAAGTCCAGCTTCGATTAGCATCTGCACGGATGATAATCTGGCTACCAACTATCTTTCTCACTTCTTGTATTATTGCTGCATCATGCATTGGATCACCCCGACGTGCTACCTGCATTGCAAGAGCATTATAAACTATTACCTTCACTGATTCTCCAACAGTTGGTCATGTGTAAGCATCTGAAACTAAGCAACGAATACTAGATAACCTTCAGCTTAATTGCAGAAAATCCTTCCTCAATTAGTTTGGCAGCAACATTAGCAACTTCAGTGGGAGATCCATTTGAATCAATTAATGCACAAATCTGAACATTTAATGACTTTTCACTTTTGTTTTTCTCCTTTATTGAGGGATGGAGTATGTTCAGCATGTTGGAGTCTTTTGCATCAGCAATGGCATTGAGAATAGCCATTTCCAAACCACATCTGACACTCGGTAAAATAGAAGATGGCTGCATTATAACAACAGGAATATCTAAAATCTGTTTGTAACAAATAGATATCCTAATGTCAAGTAAGAAGTGTCCCTATCATTTTAGCTGAAAGGTAACATGCGCACACTAACTAAAGATTTATTTGTCTCTTAATTCCGTAATCAAACCCCTCATACAAATTCCTTTAGAGAAGAATTGGGTCTAACATGAAGGAACTCAAACTATACATCTAAGCCTTTAGGTGTAGTTCCAATAGTGGTTTTTATTTGTATAATATCTCTAGCCCTTTTTCTAACTAATGTAGATTAGACAGCTTACCATGATGCCCAACTCATGCCATATCCAATATGAAAATGAACCCTTCAATAGAGAGAGGAAGCAACTAACATCAACCTGTTCCATAACATGGATAAGAAACCTAAGTTGATATTCAGCATCTACCAGATTTTCCCTGTGGATGTCTATAGGTGCAACCTGTTTGGTGCCAGTAACATGTGAACAATTAGTTTATGAATGTTTAAAAAAAATAAAAAAAATTGGAACAGGAATTGGATAACTTAACAAGGCCGCATAACAAACAATTGAAAATTGAGAACCCACAAACCACTAATTCAGTTAACACAGATTAAGGTTTCAATTGTGGATAACAATCACTGTTGACCAGAGTGAACTACATGGTCAATGGATATTGTAAGTATAGATGTTACTGTAATCAAATCATTGTGTAACTTACTCAAAATAGCTTAATAAAATGAACTTGGTCAGCCAAAATTAATATAATTGTTTAAAATATAGATCTTTAATACATTTGAGTTTGTGATATATGTATCTGTTAAATGTAATGGGCTTAGGCCTACATCATTTGTTTATTTCCTTAATCTTTGTATTTATCTTATATATAAAGAGATAATCCTATGTGCTAACACACATTAGGGATTCAGTCTATGCTTCTCTTATTTCAAGAGTACTCATGTTTACGGTTAGGGTTTAGACAAGAGTCTTACCTCTCTTTTGTACTCTCTTATATATCATACATATATACAACACATGATATAGACAGACTTTCTCCCTCACATATTTTTCTCAAGTTGGTAGTAGAGCGGGTACAATCTCGCTTTGGTCTCCTTTGTCATCAAACCATCACTGTGTGCCACTGACAACTGTCTGCCACCATTTCTATTGAAAACCAACACAACTTTGATAGGTGAATTATGGGTTAGGTGTCATTGAGGAGCATGACCCAACCTTAGTGATCACTCCATCATTCACCTTCACACGAACCCTCATGTTCTGATCCATGTGCATATTTTCTCGAGTGTGTGAGCTCCATGTGCCACCATCTTGTGGCTGGAATCACTCCACACAACTACCATTCATCTTGTTGGCATCTTCTGGTTCAATTGTTGCCCTTGTTTTTCTGATTCGGTCCTTGGGTATTGAGATGACTTTAACAAGTTTTGCCCCTTCTTTTTTTATTTAATCTCCTACTATTACAAGTGTCAAACTCAACTAGAAAAATTACTTGTCTTGGTCTACCTATGTGGTTTCTTGCCAAACCATTAGAAATTCTTTTTTTCTTAGATCGAAGCTCGCTATGGGTGATAGAGAAATTTCGCTTTCATGTTTTTCTAATAGTTATAACGGTTTAGTTATGACTAATTGTTAGTAATTCTATCCAATATATATAGGTTTGTATCAGAGAATTACATGAACGACTAGCTGAACTTTATCTTTTTGTATCAATATATCTTTCTTTTTTTCTTTCTTTTTGTTAATACTAGCGGATCCAAGGTGGCATCACAAGGAGTTGGCTAGGTTTCTTTATCTCCTTCACTAAATATAATAGAAACTTTTGGACTGACTTTGTAGACTTATCTCCAGAATTCACCACTGTTGTGTACTTTGTCCACACACCTTAGTGACAAGAGTATTGTTCATATCGTACTTGATAGATTAAAGTAAACTTGAAAGAAACATTACTCAAATTAATAGTTTAAGTTTGTTGAGGATATAATGTGATTACATAAAATAAGAAAATATTATATGATTTGATTACATTAAATAAGAAAATATATTGGAGAATATTTCCATTATTAGTTATTTTGTTCCGTATTACCATATATCTTTCTCATTATAAATAAGAGTATTTATGTGTGTACAAGATACACAACTACAAACAATCATTTCTATTAGATATTGTTTAGATATTGTTTGATTTTGTTAAGATATTGTTAGATATTGTTAACCACAATATCAAACAATATCTTCTGTTTATTCTATTTACTTTCAGTTACTCTTTTAGTTGTACCTCTCTCCATTATAAATAAATTACCCTATACGTGGTTTATACACAAGAGAGATTAATCTCAAACCCTATTTCCTCTATATTCAACAATTTCAATATGATATCATAACAATACCAATTTCATTGACCTGTTTTGTCATTCTTATGTTAGAGTTTGGTAGGAACTTGGATATTATGGGGTGCCTTAGTCCCACATCACGTAGTATGGGATGCTTAGTGGAGTATTTAAGTGCTTGGTTCTTCCCCGTTAATAGCTAGCTTTTGAGAGTGGGTTTCCCAAGGGCTTGGTTACCAATAAAGTGGTGTCAGAATTGGTTATCAATGTCTTGATAAGGGCTACCTGTAGAGGGTTTTGACCTATAGGGAATTGAATGTAGGGAGTTGAATGAAATGTTACTGAGTGAAGTGTTGTAGAGAAAAAGTTGTTGAGATGTTGACAATTAAGGGGGGGGGGGGGGGGTTGCTATGATAGGACTTGGATGTTAAGAGATGGTTGGTGGAGTATTTTAGTGCTTGGTTTTTCCTTATAAATACTAGATTTTGAGGTTTCTTATTAGGGTAGTGAAGGTCTCCTAAGTACTCTATAAATAGACCATCTTGTATTGTTTAAATCAAGAAATAAAACTACAATTGTCTCTTCAATATCTTTTCCTAGTCTTTAATACAATATATGGTTTTAAAATTATATTCTTGGATCCACATATGGGCATTGAAAAAGGAGTCATACAATATGTTACTCTTGAATCAAGAATCCCAAAAGGAGTCATACAATATGTAACTCTTGAATCAAGAATCCAAACACCCTTAGACACAGGACTAATAGTATTGGTTAAATTCTGGCCTTTCATGACAAGATACATGATCAAGGGGGCTTACTCTTTGTAGGCTATTAAATTGAGATGGAGTAATCGATTGATCGATTTCTTCATGTTTTGAGGTAATATGGTTTGCCCATCTCTTTGAGGTTCCATTGTTGCCTTCCATGTGTTCCAAGAACTTTATCTCTTTCATGGGGTTTGAAGAATGTCTTCTAGGTATGCCCAAATCATTTAGAATATGAACAACATTCTTTACAATGGCTTTTAGCAGAGAGATTTCCCTCCATTGTTTGATTGCTTATGGATCCCTTTTATGGTTGTTAAGACAAAGCTTGTGTTAGAGATTCCTCCATCAAGTATGATAGCTCTTCAAGTTTCTTCTCCCCTTACAATAAAAACATTTCAAACTGTGGTAGTATTTTTTTTCTCTCCTAAGATTTGTACACTAATCGGATGTTGAAATTTGAATATTATTCCCTTTCCATGGGCTTCAACATGTGCAGTGCCATCAACTCTACAACTTCAAATTTTGGTATGGATCTAGTTCAATCCACAACCTATTCAAGATTTTGTGATATTCCGATATCAAGAGAGAACCTTCTTTCGTATCAACGCCTTGCTCTCAATGTTATAAAAGACAACAAAATCCTTCTTCAATGAAAAGGTGTTATTTTAGTCCATCCCATATCCATTTAGCGGAGAAACAAAACATATAGTTCAACATATATCAGGAACCATGGAATGCCACATCTAGGTCATAACCAGTGAATCTTCATTATACTAATTTAAAAGTTAGAGTCAATCGACCCCTTAGTCTTTCACTCTTGATGTGGTCTAACAATCTCCATATCTTTTAGTAAATCTATGAACTCTAACTATGTAAATGCATTCAGTTTGTCACTAATCAAATCAATAAAATATATTACTTCCACAAATTTAGCTTTTTTTCTCTCATCTTGAGCTTCTTAAGAGAATGATATTGTACGCCAATATGTCAATGCAAAGCATGTTCCATAAGATGACATAACATCAAACTGATACCAACCTCACCATAGCCAACACTTCCATCTTCCAGCACTAAAGATAAAATAAATCCTTCTCTATAGAATTCCTTACAACTATCACTCACAACTGCTGATGTTGGTGGAGCTTCGAGTGCAATCCTGCCACAATTCCATTACATCCAAACCAAGTAAAAGAATAAATACAAAAGACCATCACAGTAAATTAGTCATTAGAATCTTTGTTCTATGTGAAAACTCACCTATATTTAGAACATTGAATTTTATGAATTTTGTATAAACAAAACTCAGCTTGTATAGAGCCTTGACTGAAAATCCGTGAGAGGTAATTCATGGTGTGTTGAGCAGTTTGGAGTGCAAATTTTTTCAAAATACTGAGTCAAGATACAAAAGTGTTGGCAAAGTGTTGATAATCCATTAAGTCAAAAAAATATTAAATAACCAAACACCTATATAAACCTGTGGAAACTGGCATTGGCATCAATGGAACTCTCAATTTCAATCATACAGTCCATTTGCTCATGTTGAGCAACAGACAAAGCTTCTTTAAGTTCTTCCTTTGTTGTCGCATGTATATGTTTGATGCTGCACATGTATGATTTTCCTCAGCAAAAAAGGTAGGATTGGTAAAGCAGAGATTGTGAACATCAAAATAATTGGGAAAAATACTTCATTGCAACCAAAATACATAATTTAATGTATGTATGTGTGTGTGTGTGTGTATATATATGAGAGAGAGAGATTAAAAAATTTCTGCTTGTTAGAGAACCAACCTATACAACTACACGTTATAGGGCTAATCATCTATTCAACTGTATATAGCATAGCTTTACCTTCTTCTGTTTAGATTTCAGCTTCCTGTCTCTTTCACTCAGTTGCTTTGCTATTGACATATCAGTAGCTTACGGCTTTACTGAACCTAAATAAATAGAGGTTCAGCTCAGTGTATTATTAAATTTTTCACATTTCAATGAAACTGAGAATTCTCGCCATACTTCTTCCACTTATCAAAATGTTTTCTATACATTGCTTGCATTTTATTTTATTTTAAAAAAAAAAAACTTTAATATGGTGTCAAAGGTTTGTTTCTCGTCATGAGTGATGAACTAACTATACGATCCATTTGTCTCACCAAAAAAATGCATTTTGATGTACACGTCAACAGGTTGAAAGTGTCACAAAGTTCATCCTTTTCTCACAAACCCCTTATATTCGACCACCTGATCTGGGTGCTGACAACAACAAAAGTACCGAATACTGAGTAGGTCTAGAAAGACTCTCTACTGGCTTCTCTATTGGATTTCTAAGTCCTTTCTTCTACAATTCTTGAGATGTGTTTACTCCTAGCAAATTTTGGAACTACACAAATTTTCACTGCATGGGGAAAGTCAAGATGGAAGTATCGATCAATAAATACAAAGTTAGGCTTGTTGCAAAGGTATTACAGCCAGTATTCTTACCCATTACATGATGATACATGATCTAAGGTGATGATACATGCATGTTGGATGCTGACTCACACATCCTACGTCGAGCACTCACTCTCAAGACCTTTTTCACACTTTACCCGTGCAACAGAATCGCGTCTCCACTCTCTCTCCTTTCTGTTATTTTGTTTTTCCAATTCCAATTCTGTTTCCTTTCTATGGCTTTTTTAGTTTTATGGTATCGAGAGCTTGAAATTTAAGAGCTCTGTAGTTTTTTTTTCCATGGCTAGAGGAGGAGGCACTCCAGGCCATGGGGGAGGAGGACATCAACCACCACCTCCACCTCAGGACCCCGCTCTCAACCCACTCAGCGAATATTACATCCATCCTGGGAGCATCCCTCAACACCATTGGTTTCACCATTGTTGACAGTGAAGAATTACCATAGCTGGTCCAGGGCTATGAAGAGGTCCTTGATCTCAAAAAATAAGCTCAAGTTCGTGAACGGTTCCTTACCACCACCTTCCGCCTTTGACCCAAGCTATGCTGCTTGGGAAAGATGCAATAACTTAGTGCTATCATGGATTCTGAACTCTGTGGATCCAATCCTTTCTCAAAGTATCGAATATGTAGAGGTTGCTGCTACTGCTTGGAAGCTGCTTAAAGACAGATTTTCACAAGGAGATAGGGTGAGAATTTTTTAGTTACAAGAAGAACTCATGACCATGAAACAAGGTAACAATTCTGTTGCACATTATTTTACTGAGATGACTGGTTTATGGGATGAACTAGAAAATTATAGACCTCTTCCAGACTGTGTTTGTCCCATGAAATGCGTATGTGTTGCTAGCAAGAATGGAAGAATTTTCAGAGAAGAAGACTGTATAATGAAGTTTTTGAGTGGCCTAAATGAAGAATTTGATGTGGTTAGAACACAAATTTTGATGATGGAACCATTTCCAGATGAGAACAAAGCTTTGTCTCTGGTATTACAACATGAAAGGAGAATTGGAGGAAGTAATAATACTGAGGAGCAAGCCTTTGTCAATGCGGCAGATGGGAGAACACCTTATGGTAGAGGAAAAGGAAGTCCCAGGTATAATTCTGGGAACAAAGGTAACTTCAAGTTATGCAGTTTCTGTGGAAAATCTGGGCACACAGTGGATACATGCTACAAAAAGCATGGATATCCAAACAATTTCAAAGGAAAACCATTCAATAGCACCAACAGTGTGATGTCTAGATCCATAGAAGAAAATGTAGAGGATACAGCCTCCAACAAGGATTCAATAATGACACAGCCCCCACAGTTCTCACCTGAGCAGTATAAAGCTCTTTTGGCTCTTCTCCAGTCTTCTACCTCTGCTAGTTCCTCGAGGAGTAATCAGGTTGCTGCTTTTACTACTTCTCAAAATACAAATCTTCCTCAAAACTCAGGTAAAACAAACTCCCTTCTCTGTACAGCTAATTCCACAGTTAATTCCATGAAATCTTGCACCTGGATACTAGATTCAGGTGCAACTGATCATATCTGCTCCAATAAGTCTCTATTTACCTTCTTAGAACCATTAAAATCTCAATCAATATCTGTCAAACTTCCAAATGGCAATACTGTGTTAGCAACACATTCTGGTAAAGTCCAACTAAATTCTCATTTGATTCTGAGTCATGTCTTGTTTGTGTCAAATTTTTCTCTGAACATTATTTCTGTTTCCAAATTAATTTCCTCTTTGAATTGTACTCTTGTTTTCTTGTCTAATGGTTGCCTCATTCAGGAAATGAAATCTTCGAAGATGATTGGTTTTGCTGATGAGATGGATGGACTGTACTACTTAACCAAGACTTGTCAGAAACCTGTCACCAACTTCTCACACCTTAACACCAGCTCAACATGCAATTTCTCTTATTCTCCAAATGCTTTGTGGCATTTTAGATTAGGACACATTTCAGATTCTAGATTAAACATGTTATCAAATTTGTACTGATTGTATTCACAAACATGTGTGTGATGTTTGCCATTTTGCCAAACAAAGAAAACTTCCTTTTGCAATTAGCAGTTCCAAAGCTTTCAAACCCTTTGATTTATTGCACTTAGACATTTGGGGGCCTTATAGAATTCCTACTGTTAATCATTGTAGACCCCAAATCTTACCCGGCTCTCTAATAAAGTCGAAGATCGTCCATTTCGAAGATGGTTAGACTTTATTAAGTCCCTAGTAGCTTGTTCTAGGTTCTATTTAAGATAGGAAGGGTTTTTAGAGGCAATAAAAATCGGGAAATCCGTCGAAGACAGCAGATGGCCGTCCAGGACAAGCAGATGACCGTCAATGCCAACTTTATGGCTATGGACGGCCGTCCACTAAGTCAAGACGGCCGTGCACTTTTTCCTGGCCCGGTTCCCTATCAATAGGAGCTCCCATTCTCTGAATTTTCACACCTTTTCACTCCTACCACTCTCTAGGAAACCTTTTGGCACTTTAGAGAGACTCTGAGCATTATTTCAGAGTTCGAGTGAGCTTTTCGATTTCCGTTAAGGTTGAAATCGGTTAAGGAAGTCTCCTATTGAGACGTCCGGCCCTCGGTAGAGTGACTTTTCTTTATTTTGCGGGAGGAGCGTGCTTGTAGAGTGCGAGGACTGCCAAAAAGCGTCCTCAAGTTTCGAAGAGTTAATATAAAAGCTTGCTTCGGAGGATCCTTCTCTATTCTCTATCTTTTTTATTGCTTTCTTTATCGCTTTCTTTGTGTGCACTAGATAATAAAACCATGTAGATATTTAAATTCTGCAAGTAGATAAAATAATAGGGTAAAAACATAATTTCTTTAAGTGTTTATTTTCTAAGTTAGTCCATCATAGGAACCCGAAAGGGGCGTTGTGGGGTGTTAACACCTTCCCCACACGTAACTAACTCCCTTACCCGACTCTGGTTGTAATGGTCAAAGTTGGTTTTTTTCTAAAACCACTACCTTCTTCTTTTTCTTTTCCTTTTTCAGTGTTTAAGGTTAAAACACTGAGTGGTGAAACCACCACTCAAGGTGATAACCTTTTTCTTCTGGTCTAAGAATATCGACACAGACATCCGTGCATGGTTCGAAGACTGGGAGATTGAAGGGTCCCTATAATGGGGGCACCTTGGGGACCTGACCTTGGTGAGAACAGTTAGAACCTACCTTTGCCAATGCACTTTTCTGCAGGAGACCCCTACCTCGTAATTAAAACGTCACCCTGTTCGCGGATGAGTGAATTGTTTGTGCATTCCTTTTTCAGTGTTTAAGGTTAAAACATTGATGGCGACTCCTCGAACCTTTTTCAGTGTTTTAGCAGGTCGTTGTCGGAAACCACCACTCAAGGTGATAACCTTCTTCTTCTAGTCTAAGAATATCGACACGGACATCCGTGCATGGTTTGAAGACTGGGAGATTGAAGGGTCCCTATAATGGGGGCACCTTGGGGGCCTGGCCTTGGTGAGAACAGTTAGAACCTACCTTTGCCAATGCACTTTTGTGTAGGAGACTCCTACCTCGTAATTAAAACGTCATCCTGTTCGCGGATGAATGAATTGTTTGTGCATTCATTTGTTGCATTTGTTTGTTGCATAGCATAACCATACAACAGCAAAAAAAAAAATATAAAAAACAAAATCTCAAAAATCTTTTCGCAATAAACACCCTTATCTCGGACAGTCTGCCTTTTAGCTAGCCTGGTTTCAGGTTCTTTGTAAGCTAAGTAGTCACACAGGAGCTCCCATTCTCCGAATTTTCACACCTTTTCACTCCTACCACTCTCTAGGAAGCCTTTTGGCACTTTAGAGTGACTCTGAACATTATTCCAGAGTTCGAGTGAGCTTTCCGATTTCCGTTAAGGTTGAAATCGGTTAAGGAAGTCTCCTATTGAGACGTCCGGCTCTCAGTAGAGTGACTTTTTTTTATTTTGCGGGAGGAGCGTGCTTGTAGAGTGCGAGGACTGCCAAAAAGCGTCCTCAAGTTTCGAAGAGTTAATATAAAAGCTTGCTTCGGAGGTTCCTTCTCTATTCTGTCTCTTTTATTGCTTTCTTTGTGTGCACTAGATAATAAGGCCATGTAGATATTTAAATTCTGCAAGTAGATAAAATAATAGGGTAAAAGCATAATTTCTTTAAGTGTTTATTTTATAAGTTAGTCCATCATAG